TGGCAGAAAATAAATAATTCAGTCGACATTCATTCTGATTTTAGACTATGGCGATATAATTTATATGAATGCTACTGTATTGAAGCCCCTGGACGCTGTATATCATAGTGTATTACACTTCATTACTTTGAAGTCTCCCAAATCCATGCATTGCACTCCTTTTTGTCGATAAAGCCCTCTTGTGTAAACTACCACCACTAACTTTTCTGGTAACCTACAGAAATACAAGTATCAGACATGATCTCAGGAATGGCTAACTCTAGAGGTACGTTCGATCTCGACAGAGTTAGGTAAATATGCCCTTAGCTATTTTGGAATGTCTACAGAGTTCACTGAAATTGAATGAATTGGTGCCTGAAGCAGTTCAGACAGCTATGTGAGGACCTTTTAAGGAAGATGTATTATTATTTGTATGATTCTCTGATTTGTTATTTTGTTTTATTATTGTTGTGTTTTTGCTTGCTTATATCTTGTATGTACAGTTGAAGTCGGAAGTTTACATACACCTTAGCCAAATACATTTAAACTCAGTTTTTCACAATTCCTGACATTTAATCCTAGTAAAAATTCCCTGTCTTAGGTCAGTTAGGATCACCACTTTATTTTAAGAATGTGAAATGTCAGAATAATAGTAGAGAGAATGATTTATTTCAGCTTTTATTTCTTTCATCACATTCCCAGTGGGTCAGAAGTTTACATACACTCAATTAGTATTTGGTAGCATTGCCTTTTAAATTGTTTAACTTGGGTCAAACGTTTCGGGTAGCCTTCCACAAGCTTCCCACAAACGTTTTTTCAGTTCTGCCCACACATTTTCTATAGGATTGAGGTCAGGGCTTTGTGATGGCCACTCCAATTCATTGACTTTGTTGTCCTTAAGCCATTTTGCCACAACTTTGGAAGTATGCTTGGGGTCATTGTCCATTTGGAAGACCCATTTGCGACCAAGCTTTAACTTCCTGACTGATGTCTTGAGATGTTGCTTCAATATATACACATAATTTTCCTTCCTCATGATGCCATCTATTTTGTGAAGTGCACCAGTCCCTCCTGCAGCAAAGCACCCCCACAGCATGATGCTGCCACCCCCGTGCTTCACGGTTGGGATGGTGATCTTCGGCTTGCAAGCGACCCCCTTTTTCCTCCAAACATAACGATGGTCATTATGGCCAAACAGTTCTATTTTTGTTTCATCAGACCAGAGGACATTACTCCAAAAAGTAAGATATTTGTCCCCATGTGCAGTTGCAAATCGTAGTCTGGCTTTCATATGGCGGTTTTGGAGCAGTGGCTTCTTCCTTGCTGAGCGGCCTTTCAGGTTATGTCGATATAGGACTCGTTTTACTGTGGATATAAATACTTTTGTACCTGTTTCCTCCATCTTCACAAGGTCCTTTGCTGTTGTTCTGGGATTGATTTGCACTTTTCGCACCAAAGTATGTTCATCTCTAGGAGACAGAGTGCGTCTCCTTCCTGAGCGGTATGACAGCTGCGTGGTCCCATGGTGTTTATACTTGCGTATTATTGTTTGTACAGATTAACGTGGTACCTTCAGGCATTTGGAAATTGCTCCCAAGGATGAACCAGACTTGTGGAGGCCTTGAAATACATTCACAGGTACACCTCCAATTGACTCAAATGATGTCAATTAGCCTATCAGAAGCTTCTAAAGCCATGACATCATTTTCTGGAATTTTCCAAGCTGTTTAAAGGCACAGTCAATTTAGTGTATGTAAACTTCTGACCCACTGGAATTGTGATACAGTGAATTATAAGTGAAATAATCTGTCTGTAAACAATTGGAAAAATTACTTGTGTCATGCACAAAGTAGAAGTCCTAACTGACTTGCCAAAACTATAGTTTGTTAACAAGACATTTGTGGAGTGGTTGAAAAACAAGTTTTAATGACTGTAAGTGTATGTAAACTTCCGAATTCAATTGTATCTAGGCCTATGTTTTGTAAATTTTCCCCAGGTCGTTGCTGCAAATGACAGTGTATTCTCAGTCAACTCACCTGGCTAAATAAAAAGTCAATACAAATTAAATAAACATGCATAGTGTATACGTTTTACATAATAATATTATACATATAGCGTTGTCTATTTGTGTATGGTGCATTTCTGTGTGCTGCACATTTTGTGTGTGTCTGTGTGGGTATTCATGGTTTTAGTCTGTGCTCATCATATGAATCTAACATGCTCGCTCTCTCCTCAAGATTGCAGTGTGAGGAGGACACAGACAGATAAACACACACTCTCTGAGCCGTACAGAAGAGGCAGCCTTACCTCAACTCTCAAGCACTATGCCCTTCTGACACACAACTGGTAAGTACAAGGTGTGTCTGTTTGTTGTAAACTACAGTAGAAGCTGTAATCACTAATCAGGCTTAGCCCCAGGCAGAATCTGAGCCACGTTAACCTTATGTGTTGTTGTGGCAGACAAACCGACTGCTCTGTTCCACTCTGGTTTTACAGTAGCCACTTAGACAGGGGACATAATGACAGGCCAACACACAGTGGGAGTCAGAGGGAGATGACTAGACTGACATAAGGACAGCTATACCAGCGGAATGTGTCTGTGGAAGGCAGCCCTTTGTTACTGTAGTTCGGCTTGGATGCACGCACACGCGCACACACAAAGTCCAGCAAGCCACACAAAGGCCAATGTTGTCTGTTTGGCACACAGGGTTCTCTATGCTGTATGTCAGTGAGCTGAACGACTCCTTATTCCTCATTAGGCTCACTGTCGTGTGTGTGGATGATTTAATGAGAGAAGGGAAGGATACTAGGAATGTTATCAGACAGCTGCCGATATTAAACATTTCACTATGACAAATTTGTTTCAGTACTGTAGGTGGGTCGTTCCACCAATTCAGTGCCTTTTGTGAAGTGTAACAAAAAAATAAGTTTGATTTCACCTAATTTTAACATTCTGTCATAAAGAGTACATGTTCAACTTCATAAAAAACATGTTTTCCCATCTCAAGGTTAAATAAAAAAGTAACAGGGTTGACCGTAGCAGGGTTGGCGATTTCATCTTAAATCAGCCATAAATCCCCACGTGACGGGGAATGGAAGCTTGTTGTGTGCAACAGGGAGTGGCAATTGAATGCAAGCTTCACAAAAAAATGTAATGGCTAAAACAATAGAAATAAAATGTCCTTCATGACAGTAAAAAGAAGGAAAACAAACAAACAATAACAAATCATTAAAGAGTCAACTGCTTGTTTGAATCCCATGTATGTTGTGAGTGGAAGATGGTAATGGGCTGGTGATACGATATTATCACGATATTTAGGTGCCGATATGTATTGCGATTCTCACAATTCTATATGTATTTCTATTCTGCAATTAGTTTTTGTTTTTTATTGCGATTTGATGTTCCAAACATATGTCTTACTATATGCCATCTGCAGAGAGATGAGAGAGCATAAGAAAATGAGTTTTTATCAGTCAGGGAATTAAAAGTGCTGAAAACATGTTGGCTCACTAAGATTGAGAACAAGGTATAGGATGGAAAATACCAGAGTTTTGGCACAGGTACGTCCGATTTAACGCTACCTACAGTTTATTTTATAAATCGATACTTGGAGTCTAATTTCGTCCCAAAATAATATCGTAATATGTAACTATCGATTTTTAACCCCATCACTACTATGTATGGGTAACAGGGTTGTCGTGCTATGCTCGACCCAATCAGTTTTTCACCACACAGCACCAGAAACTGGCCAAAAAGAGTAGAACCAGCTCTCCTGCTTATACAATGATTTGACTGTTAGATTTTTCTTTTGAAAATAATATTTAAAGATAAATAGTTTCACCATAATTAAACGAAAGTTCAGTTCATGTAACAGATTTGATCTTAAAATAAGGGACAGATATAAATGAATCACATGAAATAAATAAATAATCTTCAGAAATTACTTTGTCCAAGTAACAAAATGAGGGCTTTACAATGATGGTAAAACTTGGAGACATTTTGGGATTAAGTGGGTTGAAATCCTCCTAGAATTGACACAGGTTTGATGGAGGTACATGTCAAAATGCTGAATTCTTGCACTTTAGCAAGCCGTTATTCATATAAAAAATAAGATTTACTGAATTCTCAGTGTAGTCTATATTAAAGGGCACTTCATTTAATATTGATGCACAATTTCAACTTAAAATATCTCTCACACACACACATACACAGCTTATGGTGTGACTGTGCTGCCAACTCTAACACCAGACCTTTCCCCAAAAAGTATACACAGTTTCTCTTTTGTTCTGTAAATGTAGAACTTTTCATTTTGGAAAAAAAATCATATGTGAAAAGTAATACACAAAACATTAAATCTACATGGCTCATGTGTGTAAATGGTGGGGACTGTTGTCTCTTCTAGTATGACAGGCCAGGACACACTCTGCAGCAAGGTCTGCGGTATCTATGTTTTCTCCTAGGAAAATGTTGATTTTCTCCTCGACAGGCAGTTTAATAAATCCTGTAATTCGTTCTTTACATTTCATGTGATAAATTCCTCCTGATTGGAGCATATTTGGAGCAGTGGAGTAGGAATTGCTGCTCAACCTCTACCTCACCTGTACCACAATATCTCTCTCTCCTCTCTTTCTGTCTCCCCGCCCTCTCTCTATCCTCTCTCGCTGTCTCTCTCTCACGCACACTCACTTTCATACTTGATGATTACACTGCACACTGCCAACTGAGCTAGTTAAACCACAGCTTAGTGAGCATCTGTGTGTGTCTGTCTGCATGTGTACTTGGCACCTGTATGTGGGGCTAGAGCACTGCTGAAATCCCACATCTGAAGTGAATCTCCTATCAGTTTCATCCACAAGGGAGCACTGTTGATCCAGGGTTTTGTCAGCATTGGTGTGATAAATGAAATATGGGTTTACGTAGTTTCTCTCTGTCATAGTAATTGTGTGTGTGTGTGTCCAGAGTGCACACACTGAGGATGAGTAGTGCTCTCCGGCACTGACAGACAGATGGTGTGGGAATTATGGACCTCCCCAATGGCCAATCAAGCGTCACCACCGCCACTGCCTCGGAGGTGAGACACGCCCCTTTCCCCCTTAACTTCTCCCATTCTGATTATTTCATTAATGTGTGTCTGTGCAGGGCTAGAACAAACACTGACAGAGTGCTATGGGTGTCAATCACACCCCCATTTCTTTGAGCTTTATGTTTCCCATGTTCCCTGCCCTAACGTGTATGTGGTTGTCTCCAGAAGAGCAGCAGCTCAGAGTCTCTCAGTGAGAAGGGTTCTGAGCTGAAGAAGAGTTTTGATGCTGTCGTCTTTGATGTCCTGAAGGTCACCCCTGAGGAGTATGCAGTAAGTACCCACCCTGCTGTGTGTGTGTAAGGAATAGCGCGTATGTGACATTGAGACACTAGAAGGGGAATGATGCATCTTGGAAAGTCTTTTGGAAAGAGAGGAAGAAAGGAGGATGAGGTGGGTGAGTTCAGTAATAGTAGATTTGTGTTGGCAGGAGGGCACACAGGCCCTAATTTCCTCAGATATTCTCAATAGAACGAGGCCATTCTAAAAGCTACAACTCCCAGCCACTGTTAGATAGATCACCATGGTCCTCCCTAGGCAGTCAGTTTCCATGATGTCAGACAACATAAACCATCTGCCTGCGTAGACTAGACCATTACTCTGTGTAGAGTATAATGAAAGGCTGTGATTTACCTGCTTTTCCCTGAAAAGCCAAAGCTCTGTATATTATATATAGAAGATTTAGGTCCACTGTCTAACTTGGTCGTTTTTTGTCCAGGCAGTATGGCTAGAGCATTACTGTAGCCCAGTTGTGATTTGTGACGCGATTACCCACTGGGCACAGACGTCAGTTCAACGTCTAGATTTTGTTGAGTTGTCAACTAACGTGAATTCAACGTGAAATCAACCAACCTTGTCATTGTATTTAGTTCAAAAGTTGGTTGATACATTTTTGCAAAGCCAATCAGTTTTCCGCGTTGAATCAATGTCATCACATTGAATTGTTTGATTTGAAATGACATTGAAACAATGTTGACTCAACCAGTTTTTGCCCAGTGGCTAGTGCAGCAACTTTTTAATGCTGACGCAGTCCCTCTAGTTAAGTATTTAGGAAGGTTCCATACTCTGTTCTTTGTTCTAGGTATAATTCTAGTTTGAGCCTTTCTTCTCACTCTCCCCTGCCTTGCCATACCCAGCTAGACAGACAGAGGGTGGTCTCTACCTTTTCTCTAACCCTCCAGATGGAATTTCTCCTGGTTATTCTGGGACTGTTGAATTAAGTTTTTGAAGCGCTGCCTGCAATGATGTCAGGTCAACTCTTCAGTCCAAATCTGTTTCCCTAATTACTGCTCCGATGCCCCAATCTCCCCTTCTCTCTACCCCCCTCCCTCTCTCTCTCTCCTTCTCTCTATCCCGCTCTCTCTCCTTCTCTCTCTCCCACTCTTTCTCTCTCTTTCCCTCTCTCGCGCTCGCTCTCTCTCTCGCTCTCCAGGGTCAGATCACTCTCATGGATGCTCCGGTGTTCAAAGCCATTCAGCCGGAGGTGAGTTACAGTACAGGACCGTCTGTCTGTGTCCCCCTGCTTCTCTTCTTACACACCTCACACACCACGACCACTACACACACACTCACACACACACTCATTCTCACACCCTATAAATGGTCTATGTGAATGCCAGTATAAGCATGTGTATCTGTGTGTTGGCTCTCTGTAACCTTGTAAAGCGAGCTGACAGGCCTCAGGGATAACCTGTGTTTAGGGTTGGCCACAGCAGACCACTTAAAACAGCGTCCGTCCGTCCACATCACGCCACACCACCACCCTGTGGAATCACTCTGGGTTCTGATTGGTTAGCAGTGTAGGGTAGGCCTATTGGTTCCACCTATGCTCAAACTAGATTTTGCACTGGTTGCAGTTTAAGTAAGACATTGAAATAAGAAAGTAAGGAATTAGTTAAGGATAGAATAATGGTTAAGGTTGTGGTCAAAATGGATGTGTTGTTGCTAGCCTGTAGAGTGGGACAGTTCTGCCTGCCTGAGCCCTCCAATGATTCAAACTCCAATGAAAGGAAGTTTTACTGTTGTATCTGTTGGTGCCTTTCCACAGCTCTGCTACCAAGGGATTTATGGAGACTAACATGCCCTTGTGTTCTGTTCTGACTGACTGCACACAGACTGGCTGACTGACAGACTGACTAGGCATTTGATGATCTCTCCTCACATTGAAACCCAATGTAGCGTTCTGGGCCCTTCACTTTCATGACTTATGGATATGGAAGAAAAGGAGAAGATGAGAAAAATAGAAAGAATGGAGGGAGAGCAGAAGGGATATTAAATAAGGTGAAAGATTGGGGGGGGGGGGGAGTAGAGGTGAGTGGGCTGGAGTGAGAGAGAAGGGGAAGCGGTACCCGATGCACCAAGTCTGGAACTAACAGGACCCTGAACAGCTTCAGCCCCTCAAGCTATAAGACTAATAAATAGTTAGTTAAATATTTTACCAATAGCTACCCGGAATATCTGCATTGACACTTTTTGCACTAACTCTTTTGACTCATCGCATACGCTGCTGTTACTGTTTAGTATCGATCCTGTTGCCTAGTCACTTTATCTCTACCTATATGTACATGGTGCCTTCAGAAAGTATTCATACCCCTTGACTTATTCCACATTTTGTTGTTACTGCCTGAATTCAAATTGATTAAATTGTTATTTTTCCTCACCCATCTACACACTACCCCATAATGACAAAGTGAAAACAACATGTTTTTAGAAAGTTTTGCTAATTTATTCAAAATGAAATACAGAAATATCTAATTTACATAAGTATTCACACACCTGAGTCAATACTTTGTAGAATAATAGATTGATTTGGCAGCGAGTACAGCTGTGAGTCTTTCTGGGTAAGTCTCTAAGAGCTTTCCACACCTGGATTGTGCAACATTTTCCCATTTATTATTTTCGAAATGTTTCAAGCTCTGTCAAATTTGTTGTTGATCTTTGCTAGACAACAATTTTCAGGTCTTGCCATAGATTTTCAAGTAGATTTAAGTCAAAACTGTAACTAGGCCACTCAGGAACATTCAATGTCGTCTTGGTAAGCAACTCCAGTGTAGATTAGGTTATTGTTCAGCCTAAAGGTAAATTAATCTCCCAGTATCTGGTGGAAAGCAGACTGAACCAGGGTTTCCTCGAGGATTTAGCCTGTGCTTAGCTCCATTATGTAAAAATGTTTATCCTGAAAAACTCCCCAGTCCTTAACGATTACAAGCATACCCATAACATGATGCAGCCACCACTATGTTTGAAAATATGGAGAATGGTACTCAGTAATATGTTATATTGGATTTTCCCAAAACATAACACTTTGTATTCAGGACAAAAAGTCAATTGCTTTGCCACATTTTTTGCATTATTACTTTAGTGCCTTGTGACAAACAGGATGCATGTTTTGGAATATTTTTATTCTGTACAGGCTTCCTTCTTTTCACTCTGTCAATTAGGTTAGTATTGTGGAGTAACTTCAATGTTGTTGATCCATCCGTTTTCTCCTGTCACAGCCATTACACTCTGTAACTGTTTTAAAGTCACCATTGTCCTCATGGTGAAATGCCTGAGTGGGTTCTTTCCGGCAACTGAGTTAGGAAGGACGCCTGTATCTTTGTAGTGACTGGGTGTATTGATACACCATCCAAAGTGTAATTAATAACTTCACCATGCTCAAATGGGTATTCAATGTCTGCTTTTTTATTTTTACCCATCTACCAATAAGTTCCCTTCTTTGCGAGGCATTGGAAAACCTCCCTGGTCTTTGTGGTTGAATCTGTGTTTGAAATGTACTGCTGGATTGAGGGACCTTACAGATAATTGTATGTGTGGGGTACAGAGATGAGGTAGTCGTTCAAAAATCATGTTAAACACTTATTGCACACAGAGTGAGTCCATGCAACTTATTATGTGATTTGTTAAGCACATTTTTACTCCTGAACGTGTTTAGGCTTGCCATATCAGTGGTTGAATACTTATTGATTCAAGACATTTCAGCTTTTCCTTTATATTTAATTTGTAACAATTTCGAAAAACATAATTCCACTTTGACATTATTGGGGATTGTGTGTAGGCCAGTGACAAAAATCTCAATTTAATCAGTTTTAAATTCAGGCTGTATCACAACAAAATGTGGAAAAAGGGGTGTGAATACTTTGAGTGCACTATCTACCTCAATTACCTCGTACCCCTGCACATCGACTCTGTACTGGTACCCCATGTACAGTGGGGAGAACAAGTATTTGATACACTGCCAATTTTGCAGGTTTTCCTACTTACAAAGCATGTAGAGGTCTGTCATTTTTATCATAGGTACACTTCAACTGTGAGAGACGGAATCTAAAACAAAAATCCAGAAAATCACATTGTATGTTTTTTAAGGAATTAATTTGCATTTTATTGCATGACATAAGTATTTGATACATCAGAAAAGCCGAACTTAATATTTGGTACAGAAACATTTGTTTGCAATTACAGAGATCATACGTTTCCTGTAGGTCTTGACCAGGTTTGCACACACTGAGCAGGGATTTTGGCCCACTCCTCCATACAGACCTTCTCCAGATCCTTCAGGTTTCGGGGCTGTCGCTGGGCAATATGGACTTTCAGCTCCCTCCAAAGATTTTCTATTGAATTCCGGTCTGGAGACTGGCTAGGCCACTCCAGGACCTTGAGATGCTTCTTACGGAGCCACTCCTTAGTTGCCCTGGCTGTGTGTTTCGGGTCGTTGTCATGCTGGAAGACCCAGCCACGACCCATCTTCAATGCTCTTACTGAGGGAAGGAGGTTGTTGGCCAAGATCTCGCGATACATGGCCCCATCCATCCTCCCCTCAATACGGTGCAGTCATCCTGTCCCCTTTGCAGAAAAGCATCCCCAAAGAATGATGTTTCCACTTCCATGCTTCACGGTTGGGATGGTGTTCTTGGGGTTGTACTCATCCTTCTTCTTCCTCCAAACACGGCGAGTGGAGTTTAGACCAAAAAGCTCTATTTTTGTCTCATCAGACCACATGACCTTCTCCCATTCCTCCTCCGGATCATCCAGATGGTCATTGGCAAACTTCAGATGGGCCTGGACATGCGCTGGCTTGAGCAGGGGGACCTTGCGTGCGCTGCAGGATTTTAATCCATGACGGCGTAGTGTGTTACTAATGGTTTTCTTTGAGACTGTGGTCCCAGCTCTGTTCAGGTCATTGACCAGGTCCTGCCGTGTAGTTCTGGGCTGATCCCTCACCTTCCTCATGATCATTGATGCCCCACGAGGTGAGATCTTGCATGGAGCCCCAGACCGAGGGTGATTGACCGTCCATCTTTGAACTTCTTCCATTTTCTTCCAGTTGTTGCCTTCTCACCAAGCTGCTTGCCTATTGTCCTGTAGCCCATCCCAGCCCTGTGCAGGTCTACAATTTTATCCCTGATGTCCTTACACAGCTCTCTGGTCTTGGCCATTGTGGAGAGGTTGGAGTCTGTTTGATTGAGTGTGTGGACAGGTGTCTTTTATACAGGTAACGAGTTCAAACAGGTGCAGTTAATACAGGTAATGAGTGGAGAACAGGAGGGCTTCTTAAAGAAAAATGAACAGGTCTGTGAGAGCCGGAATTCTTACTGGTTGGTAGGTGATCAAATACTTATGTCATGCAATAAAATGCAAATTAATTACTTAAAAATCAGACAATGTGATTTTCTGGATTTTTGTTTTAGATTCCGTCTCTCACAGTTGAAGTGTACCTATGATAAAAATTACAGACCTCTACATGCTTTGTAAGTAGGAAAACCTGCAAAATCGGCAGTGTATCAAATACTTGTTCTCCCCACTATATATAGCCAAGTAATCATTACTCATTGTGTATTTATTCCTTTTGTGTTATTATTTTTGTACTATTTAAAAAAATGTCTGCATTGTTGGGAATGGCCCGTATGTAAGCATTTCACTGTTCGTCCTCACCTGATGTTCACGAAGCAGGTGACAAATTGTATTTTATTTGAGAAGAGAGCAGAGTGACCCAGTGTGTGATGGCAGGGACGGAGGGCTCTTCTTGCTCTGACTGTGTGTTTTTGTCTCTGATCTTGTGCGAATGTGGGTTTGTGCGTGCGTGCATGCATGTGTGTGCGTCAGGGTTTCCATTAGCCAGGAATAGCCGGCTTTTGGCCAATACATTTTTTTGGGATAAGCAATAAATAAAATAGGCGCTTTTTAGCCTATTCATTGATGGAAATACAAGTTGATAGAAATACTTTTGACTGGTCATGCTTATCGGTCTATAGGTTCATTTTCATAATTTAGTGGAATTAAATTGCTGCGTGTGTAGGCTACAGTATATTCGTTATGTATCTTATCACACGCATACAGCATACGGATACAGAGCCGTTGACCGGAAAATCTGTCAAATGGCAACGGAAGGCAGACTTCACCAGCGTGTCACACCACTTTGCAATGAGCTGGAGGCAGTAGGATATGCATTTTGTTTGAAACCTGAACGTTTTAATACATATTATGAGGCATATCTTACCTTGCTTATTAGATCCTAATTTCTAACGGATATTTTCATCTGTCACATGAAACCACTGGCATGTGCAGTGCCCTTTTGACAGTGTTTCCCTGCTAATTGCATTATGTAATGAACATTCACGCGTAGACTACTGCCTTGTGCGCAGTGCTGCGCTTATAATGTGAAGAAACAATAGTTAATAAACATTTTAACCTAAATGTTCTGATCTGTTGCATCACTCATTTGCTTAGTAATTTTTTTTATGTTGATTTGGTTTTGGGATCGATCTTCCCACAACTGTCCCAGAGGCTATTTCTTTCTCGACAAGCTGACCAATAGAATTGGTGAACTTTTATACTATGGGGATAATAGATTGACATAGACTAGTGATTTTGCTATTCGTCACTTGTCTTGTTGGCTTAGGACATCATCATTTGGTAAGAAGGACCGCACATCATTGCGTCGTCGACTTGCATGTTCTGTTAATATGAATTTCCATAATCTAAATGTGGTTTCTGTCATTCTGAGCACTGTGGGTGGACGCCCTAATCAGGTTACACACCCAAAGCATATGGGTCCGGCAGATTTCTGAAATGTCCGGTAAATTTAAATGTTGCTAGTCAAATGTCCTGCGCCACATTTTCCAAACGTAAACCCTGGTGTGCGAGTTTGTGTGTGCGCAAGTGCGCGTGCGAGAGCCATCACTGTCTAGTTGGAGTTTCCACTCCTGTCACTCTCCTTCCCCTCACATCTAGAATGGAATAAACATCTGTGTCTGTGTGTGTCCACGGTATGGATGTGTGTCGACTGTGTGTGTCCTGTTATATCACTCAGTGGTTTTAACTGAATCTATGCATATGAAAGTAGTGAATAACATGACTGGAGAGACTTGGAAGGCTGGGACTGTAGTTAGTATTTTACTGTGACAGACAGACGGACAGACGGACAGTTCTTCTCCTTATCTTTTAGTATCCTATAAAGTACCTCCTGTTATGATACTGAAATAAACTTGCCTTCTGCTACCACTCTGGACACTCACCACAGCCTGATCTTTCTGACTGTCTCTCACACAGGCCAAATCCTAACTGGAGATGCTGAACTTGCATTTTCACAAAACTCTCTCATTGATGTCAATGCACAGTACACAGAAGTCAGTTGCGCATGCAGTACAACAAGTCCTCAGTCTCCCTCTCTCCCAGCTTGGATTTAAACTCAACATTGAAGAGTTTTAATGGTACATGACATAGCACGTTTTATGCTGATACGGCTATATTAATCCATTTTTCCAAAAGAGAACTTTTGTTTTCCGTGATGTTTGAATTCTGAACCAGACCAGTGATACTACAGTAGTTTAACTGTAGGGGATCAACTCTGGATCACTTCTCTTCATTAGTCCTTCCCCACTGTACCTGTTTCTAACACCACCAGACCCTCATAAAGACATTAAAGGAAATATCCACCCCAAACCACTAATTCCTATCATTTACAGTGTTAAATAACACAATGTGAGGACAATATTTTTTGTGAACAAGCGTTTCATTTTGTCGTTATAAGGTTGGTAGCAACGTGAAAATCATTGTGGAAATCTTTTGCCTCAAGTCAACTACAAAACCCACAATGCAATACTCTCTTTATGGGCTGGCAAGCTAGCCATCTAGCTAGCTAGCAAACATATTCTTTGGTATTGTGTGTAGCTATCAGCATGTGAAGTAGCTAGTTGGCTGTAAAATTGCCTAAACAAACTGCACTATCAATTTAGTGTACAATCTTTAGTGTACAATCTCCTAAAGTTCAATCTGACATATATGATAGACGTTTCCGCGATGTAAAAGTAATATTCCTATTACCTCTAAAAGTCTAAGCCGTTGGGGCAGGGGTTCTACTAAGCTAACATATGGTATTGTTTTAAGATGGTCATACCATGGACCATGTATCAAAATACCAAAATCAATCTGATTTTAAAATAATATTTGGCCTATACTATGAAAAAAAAAAAAATTGTATGCACTCACTAACAGTAAGTCGCTCTGGATAAGAGCGTCTGCTAAATGACTAAAATGTAAATGTATAGCCCATAGAAACGCATTGAACAACACATTCATAAATGGCAAAAAGGACAGTCAAAAAATAAATCATAAGGAATAAAGTTTGGAAGAGTTTGTCCTACGTCTAGGAGATAGAACAAAGCTCAGGAAATGTTTTTGTTTTTTTGGACACATTTAACCCCTTTATTTTTGCTGGCACAAAAATACCTTCTTACTAACATTCATTTGTATGGGTTACCTTCAGATGAGTCCTGTGACAGTTATGGGGGTCGTAGAGCAAAACTGAGAACACAATCGTGTTCATGAGGCTCCTTCCCCTTCTACAGTGGGTTCATATTAGTTTGTAGCCCAAGCGATTTGGACGCTACAGACAGAAGTTGGCACATCAGCGTTACCGACTCTGGACGTGTCCCGTGGGGCTTGTGGGGGTCTTAGAGCAAAATGGAGAACACCATCGTGTTCGTTAGAGTCCCATCTTTCCATAAAGTGGTCATATTAGTTTGTTTGTACGCTACAGACTTTTTCGTGAGAATGTCTCATGGTCTGACAAACACAGCTGTAGCTCGGCTACCTTTAACCGCAGATGCGGAAGGCCAACGTAGGCGGATGCGGTGGATTGAGATGCAGCCCATGCAAAAAAACACATCTCTAGCTTAAACTGGAAGATTTTAATGGGGATTTTTGTATTATGTTACTTAGATTGATGTAGGATTTATCATTGATGTAGGTCATGTCGGCCGAATTTCTGCCTGCTTGAACGGCAATAGCTCAGATACACATGAAAACATGAAATGACCCAGGGAATCGATATAACATCGCTCAGAGATGCACAAAAACAATATAACATTCAAAATGGGTGAATCATTCCTTTTTAATGTTGATGTCTTGCATATTAATATGAATGAACAAATAACCGTTATTTTCCGTCCGATTTGTTTCCAAGCTGTTCTGGTCGTTGGTTAAAGTTGTAATAAATAACTTTACAGCAGCAGGGTTTATGACAGCAGTGACCCTTCGCAGGGCAGAGCAAGCATGCAGCCAAGCTAGCAAGCTGTTAGACCACTGCGTCATGGAAAAGTTGTCATCTGCTGGACTGTAATGAAAAGTCAGCAGTAGGCTATATTTGTATCAGCGGTCTGGTATGTTTTAATCTCTCATGTTATGGAGTAATATTCTCACCGGGCTGTCTAACTTCTTAATAACTGAAAATAGCTGTGTGTTATGAGTTATGACCTATTGCTTTATATTGGTAGCACCCTTCTAGAATATGCTTCTCTAACCAACATAAAACACATCGTAACTGTCTTAACACGGTATGTGTGTGTGTGTGTGTATGCTGGAGCGGAGCGTGCCCAATTTCATTCGGAGCGAGATTCCCAAAGGCTGGTGTATCTGCGAAACCGCTCCAGTAGCGCTCACTTCACGAGTTCAGGGTATGCCGGCCCAGCATGCATTTGTAGTCTACTTGTGTGCTGCAATAGCCACTTGCTTTACCTACTGTCATGGAGTTCACTAAATATTTTCATAAAGAAACTGATAAAACATACAGGTGCAAAATCAAGGTGACTTACAAAGATGAGGAGCAAGAGAATGAGTGTGGTAATGTAGTGTCCACAACTAAATAATCATTGTTGAATCTGAAAAGACATGTATCCCAAAAGCATGAAGGTGTACTATTTAACTGTGTGATTGTAGCAAAGTATTTATGAACAAAAAATCTGATCTCTTAAAAGTTGTGTTCATTTTTGTTCTATTACAGTGCCTTCGGATAGTATTCAGACCCCTTGACTTTTTCCACATTTTGTTACGTTACAGCCTTATTCTAAAATGGATTAAAGTGTTTTTTCCCCTCATCAATCTACACACAATACCCCATAATGACAAAGCAAAAAACAGTTTTTAGACATTTTTGCTCATTTATAGAAATAATAAAATATCACACTTACATAAGTATTCAGACCCTTTTCTCAGTACTTTGTTGAAGCACCTTTGGCAGCAATTACAGCATCAAGTCTTCTTTGGTATGACGCTACAAGCTTGGCACACCTGTATTTGGGTGGTTTCTCCCATTCTTCTCTGCAGATCCTCTCAAGCTCTGTCCGGTTGGATGGGGAGCGTTGCTGCACAGCTATTTTCAGATCTCTCCAGAGATGTTCGATTGGGTTCAAGTCTGGGCTCTGTCTGGGCCACTCAAGGACATTCTGAGAATTGTTGGAAGGTGAACCTTCACCCCCAGTCAGAGGTCCTGAGTGCTCTGGAGCATGTTTTCATCAATGATCTCTCTGTACTTTGCTTCGTTCTTCTTTGCCTCGATCCTGACTAGTCTCCCAGTCCCTGCCGCTGAAAAACATCCCCACAGCATAATGCTGCCACCTCCATGCTTCATTGTAGGGATGGTGTCAGGTTTCCTCCAGACGTGATGCTTGGCATTGAGGCCAAAGAGTTCAATCTTGGTTTCATCAGACCAGAGAATCTTGTTTCTCATGGTCTGAGTCTTTAGGTGCCTTATGGCAAACTCCAAGCGGGCTGTCATGTGCCTTATACTGAGGAGTGGCTTCCGTTTGGCCACTCTACCATAAAGGCCTGATTTGGTGGAGTGCTGCAGAGATTGTTGTCCTACTGGAAGGTTCTCCCATCTCCACAGGAACTCTAGAACTCTGTCAGAGTGACCATTGGGTTCTTGTTCACCTCCCTGACCAAGGCCCTTCTCCCCCGATTTGAATAACACAAATCTTGCAGTAATGTACTTTAATCTCAATATAAGACCAGTTAAATGTAAAAAGAAAAACATATTTAATGTTCTCTTACTTAGAAAATAGTATTGATCATATAAGCCTAGACGATATCCCAAAAACCTAACAATATACTGAATTCATACATTTTCAGTAATTTATTTTTCAAATCGGCGAGGTAAACTCATTAAAGTATTCAATAATTTCGCCAAAACATCACTGCTCTAGAGAAGATATGCGTGGAGGAATGGGCCAAAATACCAGCAACAGTGTGTGAAAACCTTGTGAAGACTTGCAGAAAACGTTTGACCTGTGTCATTGCCAACAAAGGGTATATAACAAAGTAATGAGAAACTTTTGTTATTGACCAAATACTTATTTTCCACCATAATTTGCAAATAAATTCATTAAAAATGTGATCACAATGTGATTTTCTGGATTTTTTTTTTCTCATTTTGTCTGTCATAGTTGACGTGTACCTATGATGAAAATTACAGGCCTCATCTTTTTAAGTGGGAGAACTTGCACAATTGGTGGCTGACTAAATACTTTTTTTCCCCACTGTGTACACACACATACACACAGAAAAGGCAGTGTTACTTAAAAAAATTGCACAGTGAGTTTGATTGAATAGAGCACGTAAGCTTACCGTGTGTATGTGTGTGCGCGCCAGTGTAACTGTCTGCCTGTGTCTACATCAGGGGTTACCAAACTTTTTTGGCCCAAAACCCCATTTTGATATCTGAAAATTCTTGGAACCCCACCCATGTTAATATATATTTTTTTTAACAGCCAATATTTACTTTTTGATATGGGGCTATGGCAGTCAATTGAAAACATTCTAACAGTATTTCTGATTGTCTTCTTAACTCACCATCACATACTTTTAATGTGGGGCAGTCATTACCAAATTAGTCTGACATAATGTCTCTTATCTCATAATGGCATTTTGAGAAACACCCAGAGTTTCCTCTTGATTGCTATCAATAGCATAAATTCTTTGATTTACAGGGTTATCTGACAAAGGTATTAATGGGAGTTTCTGTGCCTCTACCTCCAAACACCATTGTTTTCACCATATCAATTACTGCTGGTAATATCAAAGTCTGCAATAGTGTGTGGTTTCATAGTGTAGCGGGCCTAGCCATTGACCGTGGGAATGATTCAAGTGCAACAGTCAACTGCGGCCTTTTCCCCGTGATCTAAGGGCACTCTGGTTGAATTTTATCTTTTAGATTTGAATATTTTTCTTTTGGATTTTTAAGTTTAACCACATTACAATGATTTTGAGTTACAAAGACTATATTATAATATATATATATATTTTTGTATACATTTCAGGATTTGGGAAATTCTCCTGCGATCCCATTTTCATATCACGTGACCCCTAGTTTGGGAAACGCTGGTCTATGTGTCTGATCACGTTGGTCCTCTCGTACCATTTTATGAGCCATGACATTAGCTGTGTGAGAAAGTGAACAGGACAGGAGTATAACGTACACTACAGACATTATAGGCCTGGCGTTTCAGGAAAACCCGTCTCCTACATGTCATGTAAAACCAGCCATGTAGGAAATAGGAATGCATACATATTCACAGGATATGAAGTGCTAATCACCTAACATGTAACACTAGCCAACAGGGGGTTGGGGCTAGGGAATGAAGCACTGTCTGAGAGATGCATTTTTACACACACACACACACACACACACACACCAAGATACATTTCATAGGGCTTCCTAGAGGCAGGCAAGGTAATGGTCTTAATGCCAATCAGGCGTCAGAGCTGTAGGTAATGTTGCTGTGGTATTCAGAGGACTGCCGCTCAGGCAATTAGGATGGTCTCATACTGCCCTTCTGTCTCCTGGCCTTACAGCACAGGCCTGGACTCCTGGATGTAATGTTACCCACACACTAACTTTCCATTACGCCTGCTGTCAACCTCCCTCTCCCCTCCTTTCTCTCTCCCCCCTCTCCTCTAGCTCCAGCTGATGTCACTCTCTCTCGCTCTGGTCTGGTCCAAAGGGTGTGTGGAGCTCCAGGTTTCCACTGTGTTGACTGAAACAAGGCCCAGAGCAGAGAAGTGGCTGTGGTATCTCACATTAGATCAGCTCTGTTAGTGGTTTGGCTGGAGCTGCTTTAGCCTTGTGTGTGTGTGTGTGTGAACTTCAAAACGCATGCTGTGGAATCATCTGTGAGTTAGTCAGGGGTGTGTACGCTATTGCTGATTTTAGAAATGGAAAGCAGTGAGGGAAGGGCTGGGACCAACTACAACCGCCAAGACAACCACTGCATCTCAAATAATCTTAATGACTGTTTGAAAAGCAATTTTTATGCAAATGTACGCTCAGAGCACAAGGCAATGTCACCAATTCGACAAAGGCATGGCACAGACATAACAAATCAAATAGACCAAGTGGCAAATGGCGTTACACAACAGACTGGAGCTGTTTGGTAGGGTAATATCATTGATTGATTCTGTGACTTTGATTGATTCTGGTACTTGCTCCTGGAGGCCATCCCTAGGCCAGGACGATGTGGAAACTAGTGAAACCCATCTGTGGTTTGTTTCAGCAGGCTGACTGCACTTTACAAGTCCCATTAAAGTCCTCTACTGAACGCTTCTACCTCGTCAAACCTCTCTTTTCACACACTCACCAGGACCACCTCGTCAAACCCAGGCACTAAAGGGCCATCTGTGTTGAGCTGTTTTAAAGCTCTGTGTTGTTTTGGATGCCTATAGAGTGAAATGGGATGATCAAGTTATAAAGGCGTTACGGCTTTTGAATTAGCTGTACAACAGTTCCCTGCTGATTTTACACAAAGGTTGTAATTGGGAGAGCTTATGAGATAGCTTTGAAAGTAGGGCCCTTTCTGTCATTACGAGATATAATTTAACGTTTCCTTTAGTTCAGATCAGAGGAATATGTTGTTGGGGGAAGTTTGGGGTCAGGGTTAAAAAGTGTTAGGTTAAGGTTATGAGGGAATGCCAGGTGGCTGGGTGCTGCCTGCTACACTGGTGGTGGATGGAGTGAGTTAAACCCCCACACCATGTAAGGTGCTTTGAGACCTAGTGAAATATTTTATATAAATACAATCCATTATTATTGTTCTATTGAATTGAGGTTATTCAAGGTTTAATAGAGTTGAGGTGAGTGTAAGAGGTGTGTGTGTGTGTGTAGGGCTTAAAATGAACACCCACCACCTGCCAAATGCGGGTAGATTTTGGCATTGGCGGGTAAGATGTCTCTTTCACCAGCCACGTTGGCAGGTGGTCAGGCTCCACCGTGCAAGCATTTCACTCGCTTGTGTACAAATAGTATGATCACATTTTATAGTAAAATAAATGCTGTTTTCAAAGTATTTCCCTGGTTTTGTTTCATAGCTGGTAAATGAATCGCATAAAGTCAAAATTACGAACCGTCTATAGCCTATTCCACCTCGTGCTGCAACACTGCCTGGTGGGGGCTGATGTGCGCACGTGAAGAGCTGAGTGAAAGATTCATTTTTAGATGCACTGCGCACAGGCATAAAAGTTGGTCAAATTTACTTGAAACGACAGTCTACAGAAGTGAGACTTTGGCCTTGTTTTTTGGCTATTTACATTTTTTTGTTCACAAGCTAGGTTGTTTTTCTCTGAGTTTCAACTGCCAGGGAAGAGAAGACCACGCTTCTACTAGTCATACTCAATCACACAGGCACAAACATGACTAGAGTCACATTACCACGGTAACCTCCAGCCCTTAAAGGGGCAGGTGAACATTTTTATCATAAAATAAAAAACTCAGCTCACAAAAAATTAAATTAAACAATATACCACATTACTTCTTACTAGTAATACATTTATTGTTTTAGAAACATTACAAAGCATGCTCATCTGTTTTTGTTTTGTTGGTGTCATTTTAGCTAAAAAATATTTTTTAATCTACCTGCCACAGTGGCTGGTGGACCAAAAAGTTAATGTTATGCCCTGTGTGTGTGTGTGTGTGTGTGTGTGTGTGTGTGGTGATAATAAATAACATCTCCTATGAGACTTTGTCACTACAATTGTAAGTCTTCCCCTGGGACCTACAATACTCCTATGTTGGATATCCATCTCTCTATCGCACTTCTTTCTAAATCAGTCTCCCAATGGAACATCCCAGTCTGGGAGCTATTATTAGGAGATGGGGAAGGAGAATTGTGGAGGAGTGGATAACAAGAGTGGGATTGAGGGGATGAGTGACAGCCAGAGGGGAGCACATGTTGAAAGAGGAGTGTAGGTTAAATAAATGAGTGCCATAAGAGACGTGACAGCTGGCACCACTGGGCTACCCCCCCCCCCCCCCCCCCCCCCAAACAAACAAACAAACACACAGTGGTTTCTCACTCAGTGGTGTAGAGTGTCTGTCAGGGCAGCAGTTTTAACAGTTTACTGCTGTCAGGAGGCTCTGGACCTCTGCTCTCTCTCCCTTTCCTCCTCTCCACTCCCTCTGCTCCTCTTTCACTCTCTCCACTCCAACCCACCAAGCTCAGCTTGGCTCCTGTTGTTCACAATACAGGGGCCATCTCCTCTGCTGTCTTAGAACTGATGACGCTGAAGTTTGAAAGCACCCACCCACTCACGTCTGTTTTTTAAAATCTGTGAAAAACTTGTTCACCTCAACACAGACACACACACACACAGGGACGTTGTGTATGATTTATTTGGGCCAGGGTGTGTGTGTGGCTCACTGGGCCAGGGTGCTGCGTCCTCTGGAGCAGGCTGAGTGTTTGGGGCTGGTGGTGGAGGATGTTGTTGCTTCCAGACAGACAATCAGGCATCCAGTCTCGGAGGTGGTCATCAGGAGAGTAGTTCAGCTGATTAATAGAGATCACAACACATTTTCCTACTGTTCCATCACTGTGTCCCTGGCCCCCTGGTAATGTCCCTGGCCCCCTGGTAATGTCCCTGACCCCTGATCCAGTCTGTCAGTGTGGTCTCCACCCTCTCAGGGCTAGTTCAGAGTCCGTCCAAGTGCACTAGTATCGGACTGCTCCCCTCTGATGACTGGGATAGTTACTTACCCTTATGGCAACTCTGACACTGCTACCTTTCAGCTCTTTGTTTCTGACTTAAAACACCTACTCCTCTCTCTCTCTTCTTACCGTGCCCCCTCCCCTCTCAATGAACTGTTAAGAACAGACTGCGTTTGTCCTTGGTGGAATACACTAACTCTTTACTCCGCTCAAGACCGACTGTGGCTATGTTTGTTGTTTATCCCTGTGTTTGTGTTGTATAAATCCGTGTATATGACTGATTTAGGAGCTGCTGAACCTGTGGGTGTGTGCACCATGTAAATCTGTGACTGTGTGCCTGTTGTGTAAACTTCTAAGTGTTTGTGTGTTTAGGAGCTGTCAAGTTGTGGCTGGAACAAGAAGGAAAAGCACAGCTCTGCCCCCAACGCTGTGGCCTTCACCCGCAGGTTCAACCAGGTAACAGACACACACACAGGCAGAATAGTGGGGGTGGATAGGGGGAGAAATGTCCCCCTGGAGCTGAGTTATGAGCCTTGGCAAGCAGGTAATGGAGATATTACATCCTCTCTCTCCCCCCCCCCCCATCCTCTCCTCTTTCCTCCCCGTCTCTCCTCACCACATCCCAAATCATACTCTCTTTCCTAATCCTTTGTTTTGGAGCTTGGAGGGTGTCATGGTAACAAAACGTGCTTCCTGCTGACTTGTTGACTCATCTCACATAGGGAATAAACACACACACACACACACACACACACACCGTTGACATATCTCACAGCAGTGCATTCGTCCGTATTCTCTACCTGACACTTCGGCCCTGAATAAGACACAATCCATCATCTCAAATCCCCTCCGTCCTATTGTCTCAGCCTGCTTACACACTCTCTCTCTCTCTCTCACAAATCCCATCAATCTCATGTTCTCATCTCATCAGACTGGGTTCTGTCCGTGATACTGCTAAGAAACACTGAGAAGAGACCTGAGACAGACTCTTTCTTTCCTAACACTGTCCTTAGCTGGCCTTCACTGTCTCTAGTGTTTGTTTAAACTGTTTGGACATGTTTCTCTGTGGTCTGAGAATGTGGTTGTGCATGGTTTTAGTTTGTTTGAGTGTTTTGAGCGTGTGTGCATGAGTACAAATTGAACTCGCGTGTGAAGTCATCAGCAGGAAGCTCTCTAATGACGCACGGGCAGCCTTACCCTTTAATCCTGCTCCGTCTCTCTCTTTCTGCCCCTTTTCCTCTCTCCCTTTCCCATCTTCCGGTCTCTCCCCTGCCAATTTAGGAGTGTCTTTACTGCCCTCCATCTTCTCCCTGCCCCTTTAAGAGTGTCTTTAAGACCCTGCAGACTCAGTATGAGATGATGTTAGAAGAATGTGTTTCTGTGGAAACTTCCCCAAACGGCCGTTACAGATGTTAGTTAGCTGCACAGCACATCACAGGGCCAGCCGACCGGCAGGCAGGCATCAGCCAAGGGAAATGAGCCGATGTGAATAATGGGGCTTGGGCAGGGAGATATCCTTAGCATGAGCTCCAGTCTTAGCACTCTTCCTTTAGCTCTGATATTGGCAGCAGGCTTTGGATGACAAGGGGAAGGCTGCCATCTTTCAGTACTGCTCAAGCCCAAATCAACCCCTAGCTAGTTAGTTAAATAGCTAATCAGACTAACTATTAACTATCTGCATTGACCTTTTTTGCACTAACTCTTTTGACTCATCACATATGCTGCTGTTACTGTTTATTATCTATCCTGTTGCCTAGTCACTTTATCCCTACCTACATATACATATCTACCTCAATTACCTTGTGACCCTGCACATCGACTCTGTACTGGTACCGTGTAGATAGACAAGTTATCGTTGTCATTGTGTATTTATTCCTTGTGTAATAATTGTATTATTATTTCATTGTTGGGAAGGGCCCGTAAGTAAGCATTTCAATGTTAGTATACACCTGATTTTATGAAGCATCTGACAAATACAATTAGAGTTGAGCTGTCTCCATACTGCTTAGGCATTACTTCATGTTGTTCTGAAAACACTGGATAGGTGTAAGCAATAAGGTAATTGTTCCGCCTCACTCTCTGATAAAAGTTTTGGATTGAGTATGTATGAATGTGTGTGTATGTATATATATGTATGTGTATGTATATATTTATGTATGTGTGTATATATACATATGTGTGTGTGTGTGTGTGTATGTATGTATATATATATATATATATATATATATATGTATGTATGTATGTATGTATGTATGTACAGTGGGGAGAACAAGCATTTGATACACTGCCGATTTTGCAGGTTTTCCTACTTACTAAGCATGTAGAGGTCTGTAATTTTTATCATAGGTACAGAGAGACGGAATCTAAAACAAAAATCCAGAAAATCACATTACATTACATTACATTTAGTCATTTAGCAGACGCTCTTATCCAGAGCGAATTACAGTTAGTGAGTGCATACATTTTTATTTGTATTTTTTTTTATACTGGAATCGAACCCACAACCCTGGCGTTGCAAATGCCATGCTATACCAACTGAGCTACATCCCTGCCGGCCATTCCCTCCCCTACCATGGACGACGCTGGGCAAATTGTGCGCCGCCCCATGGGTCTCCCGGTCGTGGCCGGCTACGACAGAGCCTGGATTCGAACCAGGATCTCTAGTGGCACAGCTAGCACTGCGATGCAGCGCCTTAGACCACTGCGCCACTCGGGAGACTCGAGCTTACTGGTCACATTATGATTTTTAAGTAATTAATTTGCATTTTATTGCATGACATAAGTATTTGATCACCTACCAACCAGTAAGAATTCCGGCTCTCACAGACCTGTTAGTTTTTCTTTAAGAAGCCCTCCTGTTCTCCACTCATTACCTGTATTAACTGCACCTGTTTGAACTCGTTACCTGTACAAAAGACACCTGTCCACACACAAGGCTGGGATGGGCTACAGGACAATAGGCAAGCAGCTTGGTGAGAAGGCAACAACTGTTGGCGCAATTATTAGAAAATGGAAGTTCAAGTTCAAGATGACAGTCAATCACCCTCGGTCTGGGGCTCCATGCAAGATCTCACCTCGTGGGGCATCAATGATCATGAGGAAGGTGAGGGATCAGCCCAGAACTACACGGCAGGACCTGGTCAATGACCTGAACAGAGCTGGGACCACAGTCTCAAAGAAAACCATTAGTAACACACTACGCCGTCATGGATTAAAATCCTGCAGCGCACGCAAGGTCCCCCTGCTCAAGCCAGCGCATGTCCAGGCCCGTCTGAAGTTTGCCAATGACCATCTGGATGATCCAGAGGAGGAATGGGAGAAGGTCATGTGGTCTGATGAGACAAAAATAGAGCTTTTTGGTCTAAACTCCACTCGCCGTGTTTGGAGGAAGAAGAAGGATGAGTACAACCCCAAGAACACCATCCCAACCGTGAAGCATGGAGGTGGAAACATCATTCTTTGGGGATGCTTTTCTGCAAAGGGGAAAGGACGACTGCACTGTATTGAGGGGAGGATGGATGGGGCCATGTATCGCGAGATCTTGGCCAACAACCTCCTTCCCTCAGTAAGAGCATTGAAGATGGGTTGTGGCTGGGTCTTCCAGCATGACAACGACCCGAAACACACAGCCAGGGCAACTAAGGAGTGGCTCCGTAAGAAGCATCTCAAGGTCCTGGAGTGGCCTAGCCAGTCTCCAGACCTGAACCCAATAGAAAATCTTTGGAGGGAGCTGAAAGACCGTATTGCCCAGCGACAGCCCCGAAACCTGAAGGATCTGGAGAAGGTCTGTATGGAGGAGTGGGCCAAAATCCCTGCTGCAGTGTGTGCAAACCTGGTCAAGACCTACAGGAAACGAATGATCTCTGTAATTGCAAACAAAGGTTTCTGTACCAAATATTAAGTTCTGCTTTTCTGATGTATCAAATACTTATGTCATGCAATAAAATGCAAATTAATTACTTAAAAATCATACAATGTGATTTTCTGGATTTTTGTTTTAGATTCCGTCTCTCACAGTTGAAGTGTACCTATGATAAAAATTACAGACCTCTACATGCTTTGTAAGTAGGAAAACCTGCAAAATCGGCAGTGTATCAAATACTTGTTCTCCCCACTGTATATATCACACACACACACACACACACACTACCATTCAAAAGTTTGGGGTCACTTAGAAATGTACTTGTTTTCATGTCCTTGTTCATGTCCCCACGGGGGGCCAGTATGAAAATAAAAAAGAATAATGTATGCACTAACTGTAAGTCGCTCTGGATAAGAGTGTCTGCTAAATGACGTAAATGTAAATACAGTGTAGACATTGTTAATGTTGTAAATGGTGATTGTAGCTGGAAACGGCTGATTTAAAATAATTAAATTAATGGAATATCTACATAGGCGTAGAGAGGCCCATTATCGGCAACCATCAGTCCTGTGTTCCAATGGCACGTTGTGTTTGCTAATCCAAGTGCTAATCCAATTTTCAAAGGCTAATTGATCATTAGAAAACCCTTTTGCAATTATGTTAGCACAGCTGAAAACTGTGATGAAAGAAGCAATAAAACTAGCCTTCTTGAGACTAGTTGAGTATCTGGAGCATCAGCAATTGTGGGTTCGATTACAGGCTCAAAATGGCCAGAAACGAATAACTTTCTTCTGAAACTCGTCAGTCTATTCTTGTTCTGAGAAATGAAGGCGCTTCCATGCGAGAAATTGCCACAAAACTGAAGATCTCGTACAACGCTTTGTACTACTCCCTTCACAGAACAGCGTAAACTGGCTCTAACCAGAATAGAAAGAGGAGTAGGAGGCCCTGGTGCACAACTGAGCAAGAGGACAAATACATTAGTGTCTAGTTTGAGAAACAGATGCCTCACAGGTCCTCAACTGGCAGCTTCATTAAATAGTACCCACAAAACACCAGTCTCAACGTCAACAGTGAAGAGGCGACTCCGGATGTTGACCTTCTAGGCAGAGTTGCAAAGAAAAAGCCATAACTCAGACTGGCCAATAAAAAGAAAAGATTAAGATGGGCAAAATAACACAGACACTGGACAGAGGAAGATTGGAAAAAAAGTGTTATGGACAGACAAATCAAAGTTTGAGGTGTTTGGATCACAAAGAAGGACATTTGTGAGACGCAGACCAAATGAAAAGATGCTGGAGGAGTGCTTGATGCCATCTGTCAAGCATGGTGGAGGCAATGTGATGGTCTGGGGGTGCTTTGGTGGTGGTAAAGTGGGAGATTTGTACAGGGTAAAAGGGATCTTGAAGAAGGAAGGCTATCACTCCATTTTGCAACGCCATGCCATACCCTGTGGACGGCGCTTGATTGGAGCCAATTTCCTCCTACAACAGGACAATGATCCAAAGCACAGCTCCAAACTATGCAAGAACTATTTAGGGAAGAAGCAGTCAGCTGGTATTCTGTGTATTATGGAGTGGCCAGCACAGTCACCGGATGTCAACCCTATTGAGCTGTTGTGGGAGCAGCTTGACCGTATGGTACGTAAGAAGTGCCCATCAAGCCAATCCAACTTATGGGAGGTGCTTCAGGAAGCATGGGGTGAAATCTCTTCAGATTACCTCAACAAATTGACAACTACAATGCCAAAGGTCTGCAAGGCTGTAATTGCTGCAAATGGAGGATTCTTTGACGAAGCAAAGTTTGAAGGACACAATTATTATTTCAATTAAAAATCATTATTTTTAACCTTGTCAATGACTACATTTCCTATGCATCTTGCTATATTTCCTATTCAAACTCATTTCATATATGTTTTCAAGGAAAACAAGGACATTTCTAAGTGACCCCAAACTTTTGAACAGTAGTGTGTGTGTGTGTGTGTGTGTGTGTGTGTGTGTGTGTATATATATGTATATGTGTATATATATATATATGTGTGTGTCTATCTATATATATATATATATCTATATATATCTATATCTTATCTCTCTCATCTCTCTCTCTCTGTCTCTCTCTCTCTGTCTCTCTCTCTCTGTCTGTCTGTGTCTCTGTGTCTCTCTCTCTCTCTCTCTCTGTCTGTCTGTGTCTTGTGTCTCTGTGTCTCTCTCTCTCTCTCTCTGTCTGTCTGTGTCTCTGTGTCTCTGTGTCTCTCTCTCTCTCTCTCTCTGTCTGTGTCTCTGTGTGTCTCTCTCTCTCTCTCTCTCTCTCTCCTCCCACCCCCCCCACCGTCTGTGGACCTCCCCTTCAAATTAGTGGATTTGGCTATTTCAGCCACACCCGTTGCTGACTGGTGTATAAAATCGAGCACACAGCCATGCAATCTCCATAGACAAACATTGGCAGTAGAATGGCCTCACTGAAGAGCTCCGTGACTTGCAACGTCATAGGATGCCACCTTTCCAACAAGTCAGTTCGTCAAATTTCTGCCCTGCTAGAGCTGCCCCGGTCAACTGTAAGTGCTGTTATTGTGAAGTGGAAACGTCTAGGAGCAACAACGGCTCAGCCGCGAAGTGCTGTTATTGTGAAGTGGAAACGTCTAGGAGCAACAACGGCTCAGCCGCGAAGTGGTAGACCACACAAGCTCATAGAACGGTACCGCTGAGTGCTGAAGCGCGTACTGCGTAAAAATCGTCTGTCCTCGGTTGCAGCACTCACTACAGAGTTCCAAACTTCCTCTGGAAGCAACGTCAGCAAAATAACCGTTCGTCGGGAGCTTAATGAAATGGGTTTCCATGGCCGAGCATCCACACACAAGCCTAAGATCGCCATGTGCAATGCCAAGCGTCGGCTGGAGTGGTGTAAAGCTCGCCGCCATTGGACTCTGGAGCAATGGAAACGTCTTCTCTGGAGTGTGTTGAATCACGCTTCACCATCTGGCAGTCCGACGGACGAATCTGGGTTTGGTGGATGCCATGAGAACACTACCTGCCCCAATGCATAGTGCCAACTATAAAGTTTGGTGGAGGAGGAATAATGGTCTGGGGCTGTTTTTCATGGTTCAGGCCCCTTAGTTCCAGAGAAGGGAAATCTTAACGCTACAGCAAACAATGACATTCTAGACGATTCTGTGCTTCGCACTTTGTGGCAACAGTTTGGGGAAGGCCCGTTCCTGTTTCAGCATGAAAATGCCCCCGTGCACAAAGCGAGGTCCATACAGAAATGGTTTGTTGAGATCGGTGTGGAAGAACTGGAGTGGCCTGCACAGAGCCCTGACCTCAACCCCATGAATTGGAACGCCGACTGTGAGCCAGGCCTAACGCCCAACATCAGTACCCGACCTCACTAATGCTCTTGTGGCTGAATGGAAGCATGTCCCCGCAGCCATGTTCCAACATCTAGTGGAAAGCCTTCCCAGGAGAGTGGAGGCTGTTATAGCAGCAAAGGAGGACTAACTCCATATTAATGCCCATGATTTAGGAATGAGATGTTCGATGAGCAGGTGTCCACATACTTTTGGTTATGTAGTGTAGGTTGGTATGGCTGGAGAGGGGTAGGTGTAGAGTGTGATGTAGTGGATTGCGGAGGAGTGGTGGTACAGGGATGAAGAGGAGGGTACAGGGATGGATAGAGGTGAAAAGGGTATGGGGGGGGTGTAGATCTAAAGAAGTTTATAGAAGGGTAGATCATGTTCTAGGTGGATGGGGGCTGAGGTAAGGCTGGGTTGGACTGCGGTAAGGCTGGAAGGTGTAGGAGAGGACAGGTAAGGCTGGAAGGTATAGGAGAGGACCGGTAAGGCTGGAGGGGGCAAGAGGGAATTGAGGTAAGGCTGGTGGGTGTAGGAGGGGACTGGGGTAAGGCTGGATGGGGCAAGAGGGAATTGAGGTAAGGCTGGTGGGTGTAGGAGGGGACTGGGGTAAGGCTGGATGGGGCAAGAGGGAATTGAGGTAAGGCTGGTGGGTGTAGGAGGGGAATGAGGTAAGGCTGGAGGGCTCTGAGGGAAGGCTGGAGGGGGCAGTAGTGGACTGAGGTAAGGCTGGAGGGTTCTGAGGTAAGGCTGGAGGGTTCTGAGGGAAGGCTGGAGGACTCTGGAGTGGTCTGAGGTAAGGCTGGAGGGGGCAGTTGAGTTTAAATAACAAATGACAGCACATATTGATGGGTACACTTCCTGCCTTAACTTCCTGCTTTTATTTCCTGCTTTTACTTCCTGCTTTGCACCTCGCAATGGCCACCAGTCCAGCCATTATGTCGTCCTTGACTTGAATGGGGACGCCCATTCTTTTAATTCTATTTCTATGGCAGCACATGCAGTCAGGAGCGGAGGAGAGGAGAAAATGTGCGTCTTACATAAAATTAATTGGCCCCTAGCCAGGTCCAGCTGTAGCCTCTTCTGCACCCAGGCAGTGAGATGGAGCTATCGTAAACTCTCCAGTCCTCTGGAGCTAATCCACAGCTATCAGCTGGTGTCTCTATGTTCCATGTTATTTATGATGATTGCAGAGTTGGAGCAGAGCAGCCTGAAATAGCAGGGATTTATAAGACCATAAACACTACAGGAAAGACACAACTGAGAGCCTCTGCTCTTTCCTTTGGCCTGGCCTGTAGAGTGCACACACATAGACATATGAGCGCACGCACACACACAGGCTTAAGGGGTTAGGGTTATGAGTTAGGTTAGGGGTTAGGTCAAAAAAGATTTGGAATGGGAATACATTTATTACTCTCCAAAAATCCTGACAAATCACGAAAACAAAGTTGTGTGTGCAGGATGTTAGAGGGAAAAAGTCATTTCCAGCCACTTGAATCTCTTGCATGGCTGTGACCCTCAATGGTGCCAGAGTGTAGTAGGAAAGTATTTTTCCCACAGTGGGTTTCTATACAGAGCCACCTGCAGTAAGCTGATATCATACACACTCACACTGTCCTGTGGGGGGTTTGGTCAGTCTGTTAACCATGTTGCTTCCCTCCTCTGGGCCGGTCTGGGATTCTCATCAGCACAACCCTGCACCGTACAGTAGAACCATGATCACACACACACACACTCTGAAGAGGGGAGGACCTAAAGCTTTGGAGAAGAGGAGGGAAAGTGAGCGGGAGGAAGAGAGGGACTCCTGGGGAGATGGAAAGTTGAAGATGAAGCAAACGAGTTGGAAGTGAAAGAGAGGGATGGAGAGAGAAATATGGAGATAAGTGAGAAGGCTGCAGAGGGAAAGTAAAGGATAGACAAAGCTGACTTCAGGGAGCATCAGTATTGTGTATAGTTGATGACATATTGATGTATTGGTCTATTACACAGACAGGCTGGATATAAGTTTGGTAAAGTGCATATTTCCTTTGTTTTTCCTATGGGTAGTTTAGGTGACAGCGCTCTCGATCTCTCTCCACACTGATCACTCTTGGCTGTCCCTCTCTCCATCTATCTCTCGCTTCCTCACTATCTGTCTCGGTCTCTCACTCTCCACCTCTCTCTTTTTCTCATCTCCTCTGTCTCTCTCTCTTCCATACTTTCTCTCTCATACTTTCTCTCTCAATTCAATTCAATAAATGCTTTATTGGCATGAATGGGTGTTTGCCACTGTTGCCAAAGCAATGTATATGAAGTATTACATAAATGAACAATATGTGAGCAACAATTTTTATATATATATCAACAAAAATAATTATACTGTATATGGAAAATAATACACAAAAAATAAAACAAACAGCAACCATTGAGAAATTTCATCTACAAGGGCTCATGTGTATGACATAGTGGGAGTTATTGTCACTTAATTGTGACAGGCCAGGACACACTCTGCAGCAAGCTCTGTTTTCTCCTAACAAAATGCAGATTTTCTCCTCAACAGGCAGTTCAAGAAATCCTGAAATTCTTTCTTTAAATTTCAGGAGATAATTACCTCTGGGTCATATTGGAGCAGTGAAGTAGGAAGAGCTGCTCATCCTCTAGTTGACCCGACCAACAGTGCTTACGTAGTCTTTCTTCACCGACCTTCCATGTGTTTCTATGTCGTCCTGTCTCTTGCCAGGCTATGGTGGTTACCGAGTCTGTACCTTGTTAATGTCTTCCTTTATTTTAATTATTTGATTTTATCAAGGTGTTGTGCTAATTTGATATCTCTATTGAGAATGTGGTAACATTGAAGTTTGTGATAATAATTAATCGATGTATTTTTGTTAGAGTTCTATTTGTTTCTCTCTCTCTCTCGTTCTCTCTGTGGAACACAGTGTACAGACAACTTTAGACTATAAAAGACTCAGGAGGCCTGATATCAGCTTATTTTCCCACCATTACCACTCCTCTCCCTTCCATCTTTCCATTCCCCTTCTCTCCCTCTCTTCCCTTCCCTCTCTCTTGGGCTGTTGGACCAGACACTGACCGATTCATTGACCTTTTTGGCTTTACTATGAGAGGAGAGCTGTGTGTGTGTGTGTGTGTGTGTGTGAGTGAGCTCTTGGCCAATTGATTTATCGGTCGGATCACTTTGTTCTGTCTGGGAATTACCTAACACACACTCTGACCTCATTGTCTTGCATACCTTTTATGGGTAGCTGTTGATACATCAGCTGGAGGCAGGGGTGGAGTGCTGCCGGAGCGGCACTCCCTCACTTTTTTCCATTTGAAAATACACAGAGCTGGAAAACTATTTCTGGAAAATGAATTCTGATGAATTATAAATAAATTATATTTAATTACCACTAAAATTACATGAAAAATGATAGAACGACAAACCAAATAAATATTTATAGTAGGCTAGAGGTAGGTAAATTGTGCTTTTTTCCCTGTCTTCTCTCTGGCGGTGGCGAGAATGATGAAGAACTGTAGGCTACGTGTGTGCACTGCAGAGGCCAGTCAGAGGCTTGACCACTTTGGCCAATCAGAACATTGAAAAATGATCACCACCAGTTCCTATCCTATATTTTAAAGGGATACTATATTTGTCTGTTTCCATTATGAAGGAAGTTAGAGGTAGTTTCACAAGCCAATGCTAACTAGTTAGCACAATGACTGGAAGTGTGGGTATCTGCTAGCAAGAAATGCTAATAGTTTAACACCATTTGCTCTAATTTGCTCACAAAACAGTAATTCAGGAAGATCATCTAAATGCATATTCCCATTAAACTAATTGAGATCAATCAAATGATTGGCATGCAGATGCAGTTTGGATGTTTCACCGGTATAACGTGAATAATTATCATTCACGATTGACCGTAATGATGGCCTATTTTGAAATTAGGTATGCCTAACTTGGAGATTGAGGATATTCAAAATAAACATTTATTGAGACAATATGTGTGGGTATAGGCAGACGTTGCAATTGGAGGATGCATTTTATGCATATTCTATAGGCTAATGATATAGAATTATATGATATTCAATAGGCTACATCTGTCGGTACAAACCTTGATTGAGGAAATTCTGACGTCAGTTACATTTGTATTTTGTGCTCCCTTGCCTAAAAAAAAATAGCACTACACCACTGGCTGGAGTCTGGTCAACTTTCCTCCATTCCAGTAGCCCTCTCACTCATCTCCTCCAATGCTCTTGTTTTCCCCAAAGATCTCATTGCAGACAGAACAGCTAATCTGATGGAACATTCCCATTAGTTCAGCTTCTCTGTAGACATTGTTGTGATCTGACCTGAGAGCTGTGTGATGTAGGCTTTGACAGAAGGTGTCAGGAACCATGGCAGGGCCAGTCTGAGTCTGTCCTGAAGGAACATTGTACTTGATGTTAAATAGCTGTTATGGTTAGTCAGCAATCACATGTATGAGTGTGTTTGTCTACTCTGTTTGGAAGTGCTGTTTAACCATCTGTCAGGTGCTGTTAATCACTTTGTGCTATGCAAAATAACAAATTGATTGATTGTGTCTCCAGACGACTTTCTGGGTGGTGAGGGAGATCCTTCATGCTCAGACCCTGAAGATCAGAGCTGAGGTACTCAGTCTCTACATCAGAACTGCCAAGGTAAGGAACACACACTGTACTCTGTTTATTCTCTACAGATTCTTGATTCATTTCCACAAGTGGACAATAAACCTATTGTAATGTAAAAGTGTGTGTATACATCTTAAGCGTTCTCTGTTCCCAACAGAAACTGTGTGACATAAACAATCTGCATGCAGTGATGGCTGTGGTGTCAGGCTTACAAAGCGCTCCCATCTATAGACTCTCCAAGACATGGGCGGTGAGTTACTTTGTGTGTGTCCATGCATATCAAACAATGATCTTTCTCTAACTGCACGCTACAAAAAACGGAGTTGGTTGAAGATGTGTTGATGGTGTGTTGTAGAGCAGTGGCAGATGTAAATTGATCTTCTCTATTTCACCAGTCATAAGTCATTACACAGTCATTACTGGAATATGTAATGGTCTTGTGTATATGAAGCATCCGTGCAGAAACTTCAGTGAGAACGTTGATTAATGTGCACTGTCCCTATAACAATAAACTCTCATACACTCTCTCTCGCTCACTTACACTCTCACACACTTGTCACTCACTCTCTCGCTTTATTTCTCTCACACTCTCTCTTGCTCACACTCTCTTGCGTGCTCAGTCTCTCTCCCTCTTACACTCTCACACACACACTCTCTGGCTAGGCTGAAAACCAGACTTTGCTTGCTGGGGTATTATGCAGGGTATTATATTGCACTCTGAAGTGACTGGAAAATTAATGAATTAGAGTGAATGAAGTTGAATCAGAATGAGGCCATTCCAGGGAAATTATCCCCAGTTCCCCGCCACAACAATATTCCTGGCTCCAGGCTGGATATTGTGCTTCTTACATCCAGATTTGAGCTCTCCCCCCCCTCCCCCTCTCCCTTTCTCACTTGCTCCATTGGCTCTTGATTTCATATGTTCCCACTTTTATTTATTTAGTCTGTGAATGTTGAATTTAATCTTGCGAATGTATTCACCCCCTTTGGCATTTTTCCTATTTTGTTGCCTTACAACCTGGAATTGAAATTCATTTTTGGGGGGTTTGTATCATTTGATTTACACAACATGCTACCACTTTGAAGATGCAAAATATTTTTAGGGGTGAAACAAACAAGAAATAAGACAAAATAACTATTCACCCCCCCAAAGTCAATACTTTGTAGAGCCACCTTCTCTTGGGGTATGTCTCAATAAGCTTGGCACATCTAGCCACTGGGATTTTTGCCCATTCTTCAAGGCAAAACTGCTCCAGTTCCTTCAAGTTGGATGGGTTCCGCTGGTGTACAGCTATCTTTAAGTCATACCACATATTCTCAATTGGATTGAGGTCTGGGCTTTGACTAGGCCATTCCAAGACATTTAAATGTTTCCCCTTAAACCACTCGAGTGTTGCTTTAGTAGTATGCTTAGGGTCATTGTCCTGCTGGAAGGTGAACCTCCATCCCAGTCTCAAATCGCTGGAAGACTGAAGCCAGTTTCCCTCAAGAATTTCCCTGTATTTAGTGCCATCCATCATTCCTTCAATTCTGACCAGTTTCCCAGTCCCTGCCGATGGAAAAACATCCCCACAGCATGATGCTGCCACCACCATGCTTTACTGTGGGGATGGTGTTCTCGGGGTGATGAGAGGTGTTGGGTTTGCACCAGACATAGCGTTTTCCTTGATTACCAAAAAGCTCAATTTTAGTCTCATCTGACCACAGTACCTTCTTCCATATGTTTGGGGAGTCTCCCACATGCCTTTTGGCAAACACCAAATGTCTTTGCTTATTTTTTCTGGCCACTCTTCTGTATAGCCCAGCTCTGTGGAGTGTACGGCTTAAAGTGGTCCTATGGACAGATACTCCAATCTCTGCTGTGGAGCTTTGCAGCGCATTCAGGGTTATCTTTGGTCTCTTTGTTGCCTCTCTGATTAATGCCCTCCTTGTCTGGTCCGTGAGTTTTGGTGGGTGGCCGTCTCTTAGCAGGTTTGTTGTGGTGCCCTATTCTTTCCTTTTTTTTTTGCTTAGTGGTGTTGCAGACTCTGGGGCCTTTCAGAACAGGTGTGTGTATATATACTGAGATCATGTGACAGTTCATGTGACACTTAGATTGCACACAGGTGGACTTTATTTAACTAATTATGTGACTTCTGAAGGTAATTGGTTGCACCAGATCTTATTTAGGGACTTCATAGCAAAGGGGGTGAATACATATGCACGCACCACTTTTCTGTTATAAATCTTTTCGAATTGTTTAGTTATTTCACCAATTTGGACTATTATGTGTATGTCCATTACATGAAATGCAAATAAAAGTCCATTTAAATTACAGGTTGTAATGCAACAAAATAGGAAAAACGCCAAGGGGGATGAATACTTTTGCAAGGCACTCTATCTGTACAATAACTCAACTCTAACATCTCTTGCTCTGTCTGTGTGTGTAGTTGTTGAGTCGGAAGGACAAAGCAACGTTTGAAAGGTTGGAGTATCTCATGGCCAAAGAAGACAACTACAAGCGTCTGAGAGACTACATACGCAGCCAGAGCATGAACTCCTGCATACCATACCTGGGTAAGACGCACACACTTTCTCGGATGGGACCATTTCTGTCCCGGCGCCATGCTCCCCACCATTTTATTTAGAAGGACTGAGAAGCTCAGTTCTGGTGACTTTTTAAAAGGACATTCTACTCCAAAATGAATGAAAAATAAAATTATGCTGACACAGTCTAAAATATTATTTCCACCTCCAGAAATGAGCCCAATAACATATTGTTAAAATTATTAGTTAAAATTATTTTAACATATTGGACCATGCATATACAGTTGAAGTCCCGTGTAGCTCAGTTGGTAGAGCATGGTGCTTGCAACGCCAGGGTTGTGGGTTCGTTTCCCACGGGGGGCCAGTATGAAAATGTATGCACTCACTAACTGTAAGTCGCTCTGGATAAGAGCGTCTGCTAAATGACTAAAATGTAAATCTAAAATGTAAGTCGGAAGTTTACATACACTTAGGTTGGAGTCATTAAAACTCGTTTTTCAACCACTCCACAAATTTCTTGTTAACAAACTATAGTTTTGGCAAGTTGGTTAGGACATCTACTTTGTGCGTGACACAAGTAATTTTTCCAACAATTGTTTACAGACAGATTATTTCACTTATAATCCACTGTATCACAATTCCAGTGGGTCAGAAGTTTACATACACTAAGTTGACTGCCTTTAAACAGCTTGGAAAATTCCAGAAAATGATGTCATGGCTTTAGAAGCTTCTGATAAGCTAATTTACATTATTTGAGAATTGGAGGTGTACTTGTGGATGTATTTCAAGGCCTACCTTCAAACTCAATGCCTCTTTGCTTGACATCATGGGAAAATCAAAATAAATCAGCCAAGACCTCAGAAAAAAAATTGTAGACCTCCACAAGTCTGGTTCATCCTTGGGAGCAATTTCGAAATGCCTGAAGGTACCACGTTCATCTGTACAAACAATAGTACGCAAGTATAAACACCAGGGGACCACGCAGCCGTCATACCGCTCAGGAAGGAGACGCGTTCTGTCTCCTAGAGATGAACGTACTTTGGTGCGAAAAGTGTAAATCAATCCCAGAACAACAGCGAAGGACCTTGTGAAGATGCTGGAGGAAACAGGTACAAAAGTATCTATATCCACAGTAAAACTAGTCCTATATCGACATAACCTGAAAGGCCGCTCAGCAAGGAAGAAGCTACTGCTCCAAAACCGCTATATAAAAGCCAGACTACGGCTTGCAACTGCACATGGGGACAAATATCGTACTTTTTGGAGAAATGTCCTCTGGTCTGATGAAACAAAAATAGAACTGTTTGGCCATAATGACCATCATTATGCTTGGAGGAAAAAGGGGGTCGCTTGCTAGCCGAAGAACACCATCCCAACCGTTAAGCACGGGTGTGGCAGCATCATGCTGTGGGGGTGCTTTGCTGCAGGAGGGACTGGTGCACTTCACAAAATAGATGGCATCATGAGGAAGGAAAATTATGTGGATATATTGAAGCAACAATTCAAGACATCAGTCAGGAAGTTAAAGCTTGGTCGCAAATGGGTCTTCCAAATGGACAATGACCCCAAGCGTACTTCCAAAGTTGTGGCAAAATGGCTTAAGGACAACAAAGTCAAGGTATTGGAGTGGCCATCACAAAGCCCTCACCACAATCATATAGAACATTTGTGGGCAGAACTGAAAAAGCGTGTGCGAGCAAGGAGGCCTACAAACCTGATTCAGTTACACCAGCTCTGTCAGGAGGAATGGGCCAAAATTAAATTTATTGTGGGAAGCTTGTGGAAGGCTACCTGAAACGTTTGACCCAAGTTAAACAATTTAAAGGCAATGCTACCAAATGCTAATTGAGTGTATTGGCTAAGGTGTATGTACACTTCTGACTTCAAGTGTAGCTTATGCCTGGTCCATATTATCAGGTATGCTATTAGCAATCAGCATTATCACCAGTAGCCCAACTGATGCAGCATAGTGGCTATAAATAAATCGGCTGAAGAATGGGTTTGCCAATCTGCATTTACACTACTGAGCTAATCATTAGCTAGACCCCAAATATAATATTTTTACTAGTTAGCATCATATTGATAAATTGTATGTCCCAAAAAAAACTTGCATAAACACAGTGAATATCATGTTGGCCTAACTTGGGGTAAAACGCCAGACGTGGCAACACGCCCCCTGCCTGTACGTCACACAGAAACCACTTAATGTAAAAAAAGAAATAAATATAATAATCCCCTGACACTTTCCCTTGTTGCTACCACTCTTGCTAAACTAAACATTTCATCTGTCTCATCACAATTTAAGTCACTCCTCAAAAATTATTTTGAGGTAGTTTGGCGCTTTACCCCAAGTTACCCTACAATTGACCCATGATACATTCAGCTCCCCTATGCACTCACTGCAAATTGCAGAGCTGTAATGTGCTTAACCATAACCCAGCTGAAAACTCTGTGTTTAAAATGGTGCAGTTCGCGCATTTAAGAAAGGCAATTAAAACTGCTGTTTTCCCATCGATTGCATTATGAATTGTTGTGCATTGACTGCTCGTCAGAATGCATGTTTCCCTCCCTATGGCACTCACCACTTGAATGCGCCTTGAGAGGAATATGTATCTTGCATAGAACGCACAACAACAAGCCGACTAAGTAAATAGATAAACTCTTCTACAATGGGGTTTTCTGGGTTTTCTATTCTTTACTAGTTTGCAGAGGAAAAGTAAATGTGGATTTTCTTTAATTTCCCATATTTTTTTTGCGTGGTGGCAATGATTTTGCTGTGGCGCAGTGCCACAGCTAAATGACTGCAGCGGAAACACTGACCATGTGCCGCTCATGGCTGGACAAACACGAGTCATGGAGAAATCATTAAAATCACTATTTATTTTTCCTCTGCTTCATCATTTTATATTTATTCCCCCTTTCTTTCCTCCTTTTCCTCTTTGAGAGCTGGCAGCACAGACTGTCTTACTGAGCACTAACAAAGCCCAGGAATCCCCTATGAACTACGGGGGAAAACACATCAGTCTTCTCTCGATCTCTCACTTTCTCTTGTTTTCAAATTTTTTCCCTCCCTCCCTCCCTCCCTCCCTCCCTCCCTCCCTCCCTCCCTCCCTCCCTCCCTCCCTCCCTCCCTCCCTCCCCCCCTCTCTCTCTCTATCTCTCTGTGTGTGTGGTTGTTTGTTCTGCCTGTGTTGTTTTTCTTTGAGGACTAGATGGAATGTTTCCTCTTTTATTAGCTCTAGTAAAACAGGACTCTTCACTCATGATTCTCTGTAGTTCCTGTTGTGGTTGATATGAATGGGAAAGGCAGGAATAGGGCTCTCTCACAATCACTCCACACTCTGTACACACACACACACTCTGTATACATACATGCATACATACATACATACATACATACAGTAGAAGCTGGCATACAGTAGAAGCAGCCATATCCTGTGTGTGTGCGTGCGTGTGTACAGAGTGTGTGTACGGAGTGTGGAGTGATTGATTGACTTCCCTCTCTGACTGGTATCTTAGTGATGACTGCTGTGGAGTTTAAGCTGTCTTTCTGCTCTGTTTCCACACAGTGACTGTGTTGTTCCTTAGTGGAGTGTGTGTGTGTGTGTGTTATGTTTTTGGTTTTACTGTCTTTGTGGGCACCAGAAGTCCTCCCAAGGATAGTAAAACAAGGAACATTTTGGGGACATTTTGCCGGTCCCCACAAGGAAAATGGCTATTTTAGGCTTAGGGGTTAGATTTAGGTTTAGGGTTAAGGAAAATAGGATTTTGAATGGGAATCAATTGTTTGGTCCCCACAAGGATAGAAAAACAAACGTGTGTGTGTTGTTCCGTGGATCCCTGTTGCTATGAGACCTCTTGGTCGTCCTGTGATTGGCTCCTGAACAGAAAGTAAAGTAGAGGTTTGTTCATCTGAGCGTGTGCAAACCAGAGATGTATAATACTTATAATACAAACAGGCAAACAGGGCTGCTCTGTTAACAGGAGATTGCTAATTTGAGGTAGCTACCTTACAAAACCCCTCAAGCAGTTGAATGCATCCATGGCAGTAGTCATGAGGTGCCTTTGATCCATGTCAGTCCTAGTACTGGAAAAGGGATTTGGGAATGACTTCTGAGATATATGACAGTCTGAGATATTAGAAGAGGGAATGGGATATAGGAATTGAGTAGTAGGGGAATCTTCAGTTGAAGTGCTGAATACTGTGTAGCTCAGTTTGTATAGCATGGCGCTTGCAACGCCAGGGTTGTGGGTTTGATTCCCACGGGGGACCAGTATGAAAAAAACAAAACATAAATGTATACACTCACTACTGTAAGTCGCTCTGGATAAGAGCGTCTGCTAAATGACAAAAATGGAAATGAATTTGTCGTGACCCTGAAGTGGTTGCAGATCAGAACATAACATGACTCCAGCTGGGGACACACACACAGCAGACTTTCTGTACCGGGAGAGGCACACACACACCCTCGCGCACACACTGACCTAAGATTCACACTGTGGTCTGAGATTTTGAATGGGAATCAATTGTTTGGTCCCCATTTGGCCTGTTGACATAAGTAGAGGAGTTGGTTGAATTCGATAAGCTGTGTATGTGTCTAAAGGGACACACATATTCAAAGCTTATTGAGTTTAACCACACTTCCATCCCTTTATACTACAGACCATTATAGAAGGGAGTCACCCATGTTCTGAGGCAGGTCCCTGGCTGCACAGAATAGTGCCCGGGCCATTGGCGAGGTGTGTGTGTGTGGTACATTGTGGTGCAGTAGGGTTGGAGCTGGGCTATGGAGGAACCAACGTAATGGAAATGTGAGGGCAAAGTGTCAGATGAGAGAACTACGCCAAGCTGCTAGCCAACTCGCCAAACCAACTTCAATTTCCCTCCTCTGTTTCCATGACCTACAGCCACAGTATTGGAGCCAGTGCTACATCAGCAGCAGTGTGTGCACGTGAGTGTGTGTGCACGCCTATATTATTTATGTATGCGCGTGTGTGTGTGTGTGCATTAGCTCATCATCCCGGCAGTGCTAGCTGCGTGTGTGATGGGTGTAAAGACTAACGGCTCCTTTGGGACCTGGGTCAGAGGAGAATCATAACTTTAGGACATATCTTAGTAAAACTGAAAGCCTAGCATTTTAACATGGAAAGAATGTCCCCCTCCCTCCTGTCTTTTTTCATTCTCTGCTCCCTCCTTACCCTTTTCTCTTTTGGGTCCTTGCCTTTTTGTCTTCACTCCATTTCTCTGTTGATCACTCTCCTTTTATCTCTCGTCTCCCCTCTACTTCAGGATCATCTTTCCCTATCCTCTCTTTCTCCCACCACTTCGTTGTCCTGACTCCAGGCTCTCCCTCTCTCTCTGAACTACAGAAATGTGGTTCTCATTGTTCCTCCTCCTCCCTGCTCCTCCTCATCTCCTCTCTCCCCCTCTCTTCTCCTCCTCTACTCTCAAAGGCTGCATTCTTTCATTAGAAGAATTATCATCCTCCATTTTTGCTATCTCTCTGTTCCTGATAGCTCATTCATACAGCGGTATAATCAAACGTATAATGTATACGCCAGCTGTGACAGAGCAGACTTACTAGTTTGGAAAATGTTATTTTGTTGGGTGAGAAACTGAGAGAGTGAGACCGTGTGAATGAGAAGTTGTGAGAGCAGAGGGTATTTAAAAATTGTTTTTATTTAGTATGGAGCTGCATGGAAACTGACGTCAGAGCAGGGCAGCTATTCACCTTCGTCAACTTGACGTTCGTCTGTGTGTTGTGTTGGAGAACGACCGATATGGATTGTTTAGGACCGATAACGATTTAGGGGTCAAGGAGGCTGATGGCTGATATTTTAGGCCAATATCATTTAAAAACATTATTTGGATGACAAAATTTCCCAGAGACAGCCATTTATGCATTCATTTTAAAATCAAACAATACATTTGACTTAGTTTTTACCAATCTAACTACATAACAACATAATGTTAATAATTGTATTTGAATGGTAAATCTCTTGATAAACTGGGTAAATTAAGATTGCATAGGCCTACTCACAATACAGGTGAATGCATATTCAATCGGAGTGTGTGCATGCATTGAGTTATTGAGCTTGTTTTGGCTGATCAGTGGAGTCTGGCGCTACAGATGACAATCTGTTTGCCTTCCATTTGGGACTTATATTAGCCTACTGATCAACGACATTTGCATAGAAGCATTACTCCAGCATGTCACTCCTGCATGGAAGGACATCATATATAGGCACTTCTGTTAGTTTGAGAATATAAAATAACATCTATTTAATTTGAGAATATAAAATAACATCTATTTAATGCATGATTTGTGATCACGAATGCTGTTGAAGCTAGTATTATTTAATTGTTTTCTGTGATTCGATGATTTTTTTTTTGCGCTGTCAGGACGCATCTTTAAACAACTCTGCTGCCAGCCGAAATTTGAGACAACTCAGTTGGCTAGTTCAGTTATCTGTCAAGAAATGGGCGGGTTGTAACCTGATCCTACTGCTACGATTCGATAGAGCGAGGCTGTAACTCTGGTCCTTTTCACATTTCTCTCTATCGCTCATATCACTTGGTGCTGTTTACTGCTACTATGATAACTAACTCAATGTTGATAACATTTTCTACCAAGCCATCATTTGTATAATATCTAACAAGGAGAGCGAGGGTAGGAAAAAAACTGTCAATTTACGGATACGATTGCGGCTGGTCAGATCAGCACACCCATTACACCATTACAAGTCAGATGGCTCGTTGCAGAAAATGGTTCATGTTCAAAAATGACAACCAGCTAACGTTAGCTAGCTATGTTGGCTATTAACTTCTACCTGATATCTTAGCACCATGTTTATCTAGCCAGCTAGCTAGCATAGTAGCTAATATAGCTAGCTAGCTAACACCACAGATGAAAGGGTTAGTTATCGTAATCTTTGCTGACAGGTCACATAGCTATCTGCTTAGCTAGCTTGCTTATTGCATGCATGTCCGGGCACGTCGACACAAGCCTTATTATTAGTGAATTAACTAAACTAATATTTGCAAGAGGAGTTCGATATTAGCTTGCTACTGCTGATTTTCCCAGCTAGACATTCCTTGGCATTGTGCCGTGCTCGTGGCTCAGGGGTTGAGTGGTGGCTGGCATAGCATCAGCTTTGCTATGTAGCGGGACTATCGGCAAAGCCGATAGAGAAGGGCCGATAGCCGATAGACTAGAAACAGCCAATATCGGCCTGATATATCGGCTCGGCTGATTATCAGTCGTTCTCCAGTGTGTGTGTGTGTGTGTGTGTGTGTTTGACTCTTAACTGGAATAAACAGAATGGCCATACTGGGGCTAAATAGAGCCGGGTGTGACTATAACTATACTCATTATAAATACGTTGATAAATAACAGAAGGGAGAGATGGCAGGGAGACCATGGAGGAAACATTTGGCTTGAGCAGAATCATACGTCTTAAATTAACTCTCACAAATAAAGCCAAATATATTTACATGCCAAAGTGAGCTGGGCCGTTCCCACGGCACAAAGCACATTGTTAGAGTCCATTTCCTCTCAGTGCTTGTGGGATCCCCAAAACAACAAGCCCATACAAAACAAGAGGGAGTAATATGTACATGAAGATCATACCAAGTCATGTATACCTGGGGGAGAGGTGCATGCCTCTCAACCCCTTTGACTGTGGTACATTCTCATTTTGATTTTAACTGATGACATCATAAGGAACTTGTAATTAAATCCTTACTACTCTGTGAAGAAAGGCATTCACTAGCAACTCACTTAGCAACAAACCCCGCTGGAGACAAGCAAAACAGAACAGCAAAATGAACAATGTTTTTTCCAGTAGCATTTGGGATGTACAGTGAGGGGGGAAAAAGTATTTGATCCCCTGCTGATTTTGTACGTTGGCCCACTGACAAAGACATGATCAGTCTATAATTTTAATGGTAGGTTTATTTGAACAGTGAGAGACAGAATAACAACAACAAAAATCCAGAAAAACGCATGTCAAAAATTTTATAAATTGATTTGCATTTTAATGAGGGAATTAAGTATTTGACCCCTCTGCAAAACATGACTTAGTACTTGGTGGCAAAACCCCTGTTGGCAATCACAGAGGTCAGATATTTCTTGTAGTTGGCCACCAGGTTTGCACACATCTCAGGAGGTATTTTGTCCCACTCCTCTTTGCAGATCTTCTCCAAGTCATTAAGGTTTCGAGCCTTCAGCTCCCTCCACAGATTTTCTATGGGATTAAGGTCTGGAGACTGGCTAGGCCACTCCAGGACCTTAATGTGCTTATTCTTGAGCCACTCCTTTGTTGCCTTGGCCGTGTGTTTTGGGTCATTGTCATGCTGGAATACCCATCCACGACCCATTTTCAATGCCCTGGCTGAGGGAAGGAGGTTCTCACCCAAGATTTGACGGTACATGGCCCCGTCCATCATCCCTTTGATGCGGTGAAGTTGTCCTGTCCCCTTAGCAGAAAAACACCCCCAAAGCATAATGTTTCCACCTCCATGTTTGACGGTGGGGATGGTGTTCTTGGGGTCATAGGCAGCATTCCTCCTATTCCAAACACGACGAGTTGAGTTGATGCCAAAGAGCTCGATTTTGGTCTCATCTGACCACAACACTTTCACCCAGTTCTCCTCTAAATCATTCGGATGTTCATTGGCAAACTTCAGACGGCCCTGTATATGTGCTTTCTTGAGCAGGGGGACCTTGCGGGCGCTGCAGGATTTCAGTCCTTCACGGCGTATTGTGTTACCAATTGTTTTCTTGGTGACTATGGTCCCAGCTGCCTTGAGATCATTGACAAGATCCACCCGTGTAGTTCTGGGCTGATTCCTCACCGTTCTCACGATCATTGCAACTCCACAAGGTGAGATCTTGCATGGCGCCCCAGGCTGAGGGAGATTGACAGTTCTTTTGTGTTTCTTCCATTTGCGAATAATCGCACCAACTGTTGTCACCTTCTCACCAAGCTGCTTGGCGATGGTCTTGTAGCCCATTCCAGCCTTGTGTAGGTCTAAAATCTTGTCCCTGACATCCTTGGAGAGCTCTTTGGTCTTGGCCATGGTGGAGAGTTTGGAATCTGATTGATTGCTTCTGTGGACAGGTGTCTTTTATACAGGTAACAAGCTGAGATTAGGAGCACTCCCTTTTAAGAGTGTGCTCCTAATCTCAGCTCGTTACCTGTATAAAAGACACCTGGGAGCCAGAAATCTTTCTGACTGAGAGGGGGTCAAATACTTATTTCCCATTTCCCTCATTAAAATGCAAATCAATTTATTATAACATTTTTGACATGTGTTTTTCTGGATTTCTTTGTTGTTATTCTGTCTCTCACTGTTCAAATAAACCTACCATTAAAATTATAGACTGATCATTTCTTTGTCAGTGGGCAAACGTACAAAATCAGCAGGGGATCAAATACTTTTTTCCCTCACTGTAAGTAATCTCCAAAATTCCTAGAGTAATCACCTTCATAGCGTATTGAACTGTAACAAGGTGGAGTAACATACTGTATACATAGAGACTGTTGTAGAAGGCAGTGGCAGATAGCTCTGTGTTAGAATCCATACTCTGGCTGTCCTCTGCTGTCTGTCACAGCATTATTATGTGGTTGTCTGGCCATGTTAGAGAGGACTCAATAGGAGCACAGCTGAAACGTGGCAGAACGCTGTGTCTTCTGTCCAGAGAGGGTCAAAAATAACCAGGGTTTCCATGAAGCATGATTTGGGCAGTGACTGTTGAAATCGACTTCTCTGACCCACTTGAGAATGGAAGGATGGAATGAAGCATGGAGATGAAGGGTAGCTTGGTAGAGAAACTGAGAGGGGTCGGGAGTCTAGGGGGTGGGGTGGGAGGGTAGGGGTCATGATGAGTCAAAGGTCATGGCGTAGGTAAGGGGATAGAGCCTGATCCAGGCTCAGTCGATAGGTCGGATCATCATGCGGACGGACTTCAGGGAGTAGAACCCTCCTCCGTACTCGGCCCAGAAGATTCCATCCTGGAACTTACTACGGTAAACCCCTCCGCTGTACCATACACCGTTTAGGTTGGTCTGGCCACAGGCATTGTACCACCAGCCACCCTTATGGAAGTGGGCACAGTTACCTAGGGAGGGGAGAGGAGGAGAGAAGGGGGCTTAGTGGTACAGCATATTCTAGTGCTAGCTATCACTTGAGCAGGGATGTTAGAGATGGATCACAGTACAAAGAAGGCTTGTGAAACGGTATTCTTGGGAGACTAGTATTGTAGCATAGCAGTGGGTTAGCATACAAGTACAGTGTTGTACTTGTATTCTAGCGTACATCCCTATTTTGACACACTTTACCTGAGAAAGCGTCCTTGTCCCTGTCCAGCGTGGTGAACATTTTCCCGTTGTGGCTGCTGAGGGAGTCTCCAGCGTTTCCCTGGTAGGTGCCCAGTCTCAGGCGGTAGCCCTCACTCTCAGGCTCCAGGTGGAAGCTGCTGTACTCAGCATACACCTTCTTCCCCACCCAGTCCTCCAGCTCTACCAGCAACCTGTAGTCCCCCTGCTTCCCTAGGTTATAGATGTTCTCCAGACCCAGCCAGTACTCACTGTCAATGTTCCCAAAGCCTTTCTGTAGGGGGAGACACACACACACACACACACACACACACACACACACAGAGCAGGTTATAATATAGATGATTTCCAGGCTCCAAGGGTTTCTAATAAACGGTTACAGGACTGTGAGTCGTGTAGTGTCCCAGCTAAAGCTTTTGCAATGCTGCTTTCACCCACCAACTAGCCTAACTAACAGCACTGTTTCTAGTCAGGAGCAGAAGGGACCACACCTCTGTCTGCAGACAGTCTAAATAGTCACGCTCAGAGGACAAAGAGAGGGTAAATCACAGAGGGTAGACTCCAGTAATATGATTACATGCCACATCATTGTGTTAAAGGAAACCAGACCTTCAGAATCAATGGAAGAGAATTGAATCGGTTCCCTGTTGGAGACGATAATGTGTCAAAGTTCTGCCTTCCCAGTCAAGGTGAATTACTGGCTGTGGCAGGGGAGAACGACTATGGGGGCTACACACACACACACACACACACACACACAGTCACACACACTGCTGGGTGTGTTGGGTCCAGATAAGATCTCAGTGATGATGCCGAGAGAAAAGCAGGAGGGATGGAGGGAGAGAGAGCGAGGAGGGAAGGAGTCTGATTTCCTTGCCTGCCCATGGGGGCATAATGGTTGTGTGCGTGTGCGCGTGCGCATGTGTGGCTCCGTGCCAGGGCTTTCTCCAGAGTGATGGAGTGTGTGTTAGCAGCCTCAGAATGTGGTGGCGGAGTGGGCTTGGTTATGGGCTTGGTTATGGTTATGAGGGGTGATAAGGGGAACATGGAGCCACCTACATCAGCCCCTCCCTCCATGTCCCTGCTGGGGTCACAGCTGAGTGGCTTCTGGTTAGAGGTCAGAGGGAGAGGGCTGGACTTAGCTCCAATGGCTCAGTGCTTAACAATATACATACATATCCAGATGTTTATGTTCGGAGTGTGTGTGTGTCAGTGTGCGTTATCCTCTGCGCTATAGTACCTTGTAATTCTCCCAGTTCCTGAAGAAGTTGACGGATCCGTCCTTCCTCCTCTGTAGCACAGTCCAGCCTCCGTTGTCTAGGCCATGTTCACACCAGGCCTGGATCAGCTGGTCACTGCCCTCAGACTTAAGCAGGTACATCCCACTGGTGCTGTGGCCCGCCTGGCGCACCTGGTAGCAATCCTTAAATGGACCTGGGAGAGGGGGAGGGAGAAATGGGTCAGTGCCTGCATCTAATATGGCACCCTATTCCCTATATAATGCACTCGTTTTGACCAGAGCCCAAAGCCAGCGTCTCTACTCTGTTAGTACTGCTTCTATGATGTAACATCCTCTTCACTAATCACTCTACCATACCGTATCTTGCCTCAGGTGAACAAGATGTCTTCTTTCATCACACACACGCTAAATACATTATGTTGCCCCCGCTGGGCTGACAGAGAGACCGAGACAGAGAAAGGAAGGCATCGCTTGCCAAGACCCCCTAGCTTAGGGGGAGGGGAAGGAGTAGATACGATGCGTGAGCCCCTTTCCTGCCCAGACCACCATACAGCCTTATGTTACCAGACAGACAGACACCGACATTAGCTCTGTACTTAGATCCCCAGCTCTATCTAAACCCTGCTTATTTCCCGCTCCTGTGTGAATGATGTGTATTGAGCAGTCATGAAGACATGCTGCCCGAGGCACAAAGAAGATAGCTTTCTCAGGCTGGGTGTGCTGTGTGTGTGTGTGTACAGGGAGGACAGAGCCACAGTAGTGCCTCATACACATACAGTGAGGGAAAAAAGTATTTGATCCCCTGCTGATTTTGTAAGTTTGCCCACTGACAAAGAAATGATCAGTCTATAATTTTAATGGTAGGTTTATTTGAACAGTGAGAGACAGAATAACAACAAAGAAATCCAGAAAAACACATGTCAAAAATGTTATAAATTGATTTGCATTTTAATGAGGGAAATAAGTATTTGACCCCCTCTCAATCAGAAAGATTTCTGGCTCCCAGGTGTCTTTTATACAGGTAACGAGCTGAGATTAGGAGCACACTCTTAAAGGGAGTGCTCCTAATCTCAGCTTGTTACCTGTATAAAAGACACCTGTCCACAGAAGCAATCAATCAATCAGATACCAAACTCTCCACCATGGCCAAGACCAAAGAGCTCTCCAAGGATGTCAGGGACAAGATTGTAGACCTACACAAGGCTCTAATGGGCTACAAGACCATCACCAAGCAGCTTGGTGAGAAGGTGACAACAGTTGGTGCGATTATTTGCAAATGGAAGAAACACAAAATAACTGTCAATCTCCCTCGGCCTGGGGCTCCATGCAAGATCTCACCTTGTGGAGTTGCAATGATCATGAGAACGGTGAGGAATCAGCCCAGAACTACACGGGAGGATCTTGTCAATGATCTCAAGGCAGCTGGGACCATAGTCACCAAGAAAACAATTGGTAACACACTACGCCGTGAAGGACTGAAATCCTGCAGTGCCCGCAAGGTCCTCCTGCTCAAGAAAGCACATATACATGCCCGTCTGAAGTTTGCCAATGAACATCTGAATGATTCAGAGGAGAACTGGGTGAAAGTGTTGTGGTCAGATGAGACCAAAATGGAGCTCTCTGGCATCAACTCAACTCGCCGTGTTTGGAGGAGGAGGAATGCTGCCTATGACCTCAAGAGCACCATCCCCACCGTCAAACATGGAGGTGGAAACATGCTTTGGGGGTGTTTTTCTGCTAAGGGGACAGGACAACTTCACCGCATCAAAGGGACGATGGACGGGGCCATGTACCGTCAAATCTTGGGTGAGAACCTCCTTCCTTCAGCCAGGGCATAGAAAATGGGTCGTGGATGGTTATTCCAGCATGACAATGACCCAAAACACACGGCCAAGGCAACAAAGGAGTGGCTCAACAAGAAGCACATTAAGGTCCTGGAGTGGCCTAGCCAGTCTCCAGACCTTAATTCCATAGAAAATCTGTGGAGGGAGCTGAAGGTTCGAGTTGCCAAACGTCAGACTCGAAACCTTAATGACTTGGAGAAGATCTGCAAAGAGGAGTGGGACAAAATACCTCCTGAGATGTGTGCAAACCTGGTGGCCAACTACAAGAAATGTCTGACCTCTGTGATTGCCAACAAGGGTTTTGCCACCAAGTACTAAGTCATGTTTTGCAGAGGGGTCAAATACTTATTTCCTTCATTAAAATGCAAATCAATTTATAACATTTTTGACATGCGTTTTTCTGGATTTTTTTGTTATTCTGTCTCACTGTTCAAATAAACCTACCATTAAAATTATAGACTGATCATTTCTTTGTCAGTGGGCAAACGTACAAAATCAGCAGGGGATCAAATACTTTTTTCCCTCACTGTACCTAAAACCTCACAGAACCGGGACATATTATTCCATTAACCATACGTCTTCATCTAGACCACTTCTGTCTTGAGGCTTTCTTTCTGTCTATAGCTCTCTTGGACTCTTTCTTTCATTCTCTCTCTCCCTCTCTGTCTCTCTCTCTCTCCAAGTAAAAAACAGGGGAATATCTAATGTTACCCTAGTGGTTTGAGCAGGGATTGGCCAATCCAGAGTGTGGTGCAGGTCTGTGTATTGAGGTGAACCAGCCATGTGTTTTTTGAGCGTTAAACCCTCAACAGAAGAGGATTCAGCCTGGCTCCACTCACAGAGATTCATGATAGATGATCGTATTGCTTTTCCTCACATAGCAGGAACAATTCATCGCTCTCTCTTTCTTGTTGCTTTTGGGACCAAACAATCAGTGTCCAGAACGAAAGAAGATGAGTAGATTTATTTGGGCTACGTTTCAGAGTGGAGGAGCTCTGATATGATGTGTATGATTTAGATGTCTGTGATACTGTCGGTCTCTCTCTCAGTGGACCATCCAGACTATCTGGGGAGGGCCCGTGTGGCTTAGTTGGTAGAGCATGGCACTTGCAACGCCAGGGTTGTGGGTTCTATTCCCACAGAGGACCAGTACGAAAAATGTAAGCACTCACTACTGTAAGTCGCTCTGGATAAGTGTCTGCTAAATGACTAAAATGTAAATGTAAAATTTACTCAGTGAATGTCTTTTTTTTTTTATAGTGAAACATTAAAGTTATCATTTTTAGATAAAACATTACTAAATATATTAATGTCACCAAATAACTGATTAAAACACATTGTTTTGCAATGAAGGTCTACAGTAGCCTCAAAAGCACTCTCTGGGGTAGCAGCAGGGTGTAGCTGGAGGACAGCTATTTTCCATCCTCCTCTGGGTACAGAGGACTTCTATACAAAACCTAGGAGGCTCATGGTTCTCTCTGCCTTCCATAGTCTTACACAGTAATTATGACCACTTCCGAAGGACGTCCTCCAACCTGTCAGAGCTCTTGCAGCATGAACTGACATGTTGTCCATCCAACCAAAGGATCAGAGAATGACTCTAGTACTGAAAGCTTAAGCTACAGCTAGCTAGCAGTGCATAACATGTGATGAGTAGTTGACTCGGAGAGAGAGAGAGACAATAGTTGAACAGTTTTGAATTTTTTTATGAGAGAAGCAGCAGTTTTTTTTATTTATTTCATTGTTTTTTTCTCTTCTTAGTTTACCTTTCACTTACTTAGCTACCTAATGCAGCTTATTTAGCCTACTCAACAACCTGACTCAAACAGCGAGAAATGCTATTTATGTTAGCTAGCTAGCTGGCTAAGGCTATCCAACAGTGCAACTCTTCCAACTCAAGGTAACATTTCGGTTGTATTAATTTATTGCTGAACTGCTTACTGTACACTGTTTTGCATGATTGTACACGTGGATTTGATTGTGGGTTTACTAACGCGTTAGTTCTAGTAGTTATGTTGACTATGACGTTAGCTAATATGGTGACAACAATGTAGGCTGTGTAGCGGTTTTGGTATGGAGGTTTAGCCTTGAAAGGTTTTTTCGCCTGGTCACAGACAGCTGTTGTGTTGTGCACTGAAGTCCACAAGCTAATGGAAAAGGTGAGCGGAGAGCGCATAGATACTATACGGAATTATACAACGAACAAAGTGATGAGCCTGTGTAGGCCCTGTGTAGCTCAGTTGGTAGAGCATGGTGCTTGCAACGCCAGGGTTGTGAGTTTGTTTCAGAAACTGCAAAATATGTTCTTTCTGATACTATATAGAAATCAAAATGTTTTACCTGCATTAGACTCCGAAGGAGGATTTGATAAAGTGATGCTCCTTTCCCTGCATCTGTCAATTACAAGATGTGCCCATCTCTTTGTGTACAATTTGACATTTGATAATACTGTCACTCATCAGACTATTGTCAATTTAAACTTGTCTATAGGTTAACTTATGTGTGAAATTAGTTTGGGTATAGTTTAGGTGTAGTTTCTATGGGCCGGTTGTGGAGGCTGGTCAGGCTAGGCAGGCTGGTCCGGCTGTGGAGGGTGACTGGCATCATTTGTTTCCCACTCATCAACTTGGATAGAGTCAAGGATATGTTTTGCATTATTCTAAAGGACTACTGCAACACATAGCATGTTTTCATTTCCCTTACAATAAATGTGATTAGTAATAGAGTTACAGTAAATAAAATAGTCCCGTAAAAGAGAATGGTATCAACCCGCAAGGCACGCGGTCATATTTTTTACATGAGCGCCAACGATGATAAATCGGCATAACCAAACTCATCATTACACTACTATTGTTCTAAATTAAATCAACCTCTTCACCCTCCTTATCATTCAGTTAGGTCTAATACAATTATTATTGTGAAGTAACGTGCAGTTATCATCCATTTGTCATTCATTCAGTGAGGAAAGAGAGACTCATTAACGTCTGGCCTGGGTACCAAAGTCCTACAGCGCATTGTCTAGTCAGGTTAAGTTGGGAATAGGTATAAAAAAAACTGGAAAAAAGACTCAAAATTCTGACAAATGTAAAATACTAACATTTAGGAAAAGTCAGGGAAGGAGCAGGACATTGCTTTTTGTGTGTGTGTGTGTGTGGGGGGGGGGGGGGGTTAATTAAATCAAATGTCAGTGGCCGTTGGCCTATGACGGTTCTAGTGTTCATTAGATATCTCCTAACTTTTGCCACACACGGAGGCTCTATGACTGTAGCCTATTGCCGTTTTGATGACTTATGATTG